CACAATACTACCGTATACCAACAAAAATGACAACACGATTACAATCTTGACTTCTTCTTCCTTGTTTTTCCTTGTGTCGTTGTCCAAACGGTCCTTGTCCATGCGATCCATGTCCAAGCGATTTTCTTCCAAATTTCTGACACCGAAACAAGTATTCACTCTTTTCTGTTTGATTTTGTTGCGTCTTTCCACTTGTGCGACTAGTTCCGCAGGGATGTGCACTGACATAATCGACCATTTCAAGAAAATCCCAAAATGCACAAGGGTATCCGGTGCATCTGCACACTTTCCCATACCGCTTCGCATTGACACTCTTGAGTTTCTTAACTTCTTGTTTGCTGATGCGTTGGAATCACCTTCATCTTGCTGTTCCACGCTTATCCGTTTGACATCGACTGAGCTATTCTTTGGCTGTTTCTTTTTCAGCATGTGCATCTTCATAGCTTTTGTCGATTGCTTCATATCGGTCGATGGTTCATCCAAGATTCCGCTTTGATTCTTGGAATCTTGCTTCATCTTTCTGCGCTTTGTGCGCCTTGATTCTTCTTTTCTTTCTAGGCCTTTTAAAAATCTCCTTCCTACTTTTGGCTTCGTCTTGTTTCCTCCAAGTAGTCTATCAGTCCGATCTTTCACTACATTCGAGGAATCTCTGACTGAATACCTGTGCAAGCCTTTATTGGTATCACTTCGAATCACTTTGACACCAAAATTGCACAGATCATCTGTCCCCAAGATCAGCTCTATTTCTAACGATCTGGCGACATATACCGAAATCTTCTTGGATTTGCCAAACAATTCCACAGGCATCTTGATTGCGTCCAAGATCTCTATTATGTTGCCAGAAGCGTCGCGTATCGTAGCATCAGATATAGCTCCTGAGATTCTCTCCACATAAGTATCTAGATCGACTCCAGCTTCTTTGGCCCTCGTGAACAGCTTTAATGATGCTATGGACACCTCGGATCCAGTGTCTATAAGTACGCTTACTTCCATATTCATTATTTTTGCCGGCACAGCTACCTTCTTACCGACGAATTCTTCAGTACTCTTCCTGACACCTGTGGTAGCGCATAACCACCTATCAAGAGCAGTGGAGAACGAAGATGCCTTGTATCGTTCAGTTCTTTCTGCGTTGCCCTTTGTGGCGTTCTGCAGCGTGCACTGTCTTGCTTTATGCCCTGATTTGCCAAATTAAAGGCAACGATTACCTTTCTCTTTGCCTTTCGGTCAATCTATCTCTTATTTCACCATGATCAGCGGCCGATTCCGAACCAGACCACTTTCGGTGAAGCTAGATTGCCATAAAGCCTTTTGGTATGCATACCATTGTCCTGCTTGCTTTCCTTTCTATGCAGGTTTCTTTCCAGCCTCAGCGCTGCTTCTTTCGCTCTGTCATATACGACATCTCGCGGGCTAGCCTCAATTGCTTCGCTCAATACATAGCTTTCTTCCCAGTTAGCTAACTGGGAATACAGAAGTTCCGCTTTCTGGAGTGCCACCCCTTCCATTTCTTCATTAGGGTAAGCTTGACTGAACCTCCTCTCTAGTACAAAGCAGAAATCACTTACTGTCTGATTTCTTTTCATTCTCAGATTTCTCAGTGCAGCCAAGGCTTTTACTCGAGAAGTGTTGCCTCCTTTAGCTAACCTTTCGCTCATCGCCTGGACTACGCCGTCGAAGGGACCTTCTTTTACACTTCGTGGTAATGTCTCGAATAGATTCAAGGCTTCCCTTCTCAGAAAAATTTCGAGAAGTTGTGTTAGAGTTTCATCATCCCAATGCTTCCTTGGGTACTTCAACAGAAATGACTTCACGAACTTGTTGAAGCTCTCATTCAACTCACCATAAAAAGGTTTTACGTCTAGTACTGCAGACGCCAACATGAATTCTCTCATGGTAAACTCGGGATTAGAGTTATGTGAAGAATCTTGCAATCGGACTTCATGCACATCTGTGTTCAACCGTTGTCGATTGCTTCTACCAAACTCTAACCTGTGCCTATGCGAGGAGGTCTTTGGTGAACCATCCTGCGCATTCTGCACTGTCTGCACTTGGCGCTTTGATAGAAGTATGTTGCCTTCCCCATTTATGTTCGCAAATCTTTGATATTTGCATCGAACTCCGTAATTTTCAGAGTCGCCTTCTGATGTGTCTGTTTCCCGATCTGCATCAATATCAGATGGGGTTTGTGCTGGCTCCATGGTTGCCACAACCTCCGCTCAAGTTCCTGAGCTTTAATCGGAGGCACTGAACCTCATTTGACACTTCCTTGACCTTTTCCTCCAAGTCTTTCTCACTGCAGTTTAGCGTTATACACAAGGCTGCAATCAACTTGTAGTAAGTGAAGTATTTATCAAGGCAACGCTCCAACTTTTCTGGTGACATCAACCCAGCCTTTGCAAGGATCTCCAATGTAAGCACTTTTCGGTGAGATTGTTGAGCTTGACCAAGATTGGTATGATAACTTTATTGGCTGACGTCGACGTTTCGGCGATCTACGCCTTCTTCGGAGCCTGGAAAGACGAAGTCATAAGTGTCTATCCGCTCAGACGTCAAGTGCCAGGAACAAAATAAACCCGAAGAGGTTAGCCATAGACATTATCAGAGCCACAAGAACACATACTCACCTTAGACGCAGCACAATTGGTAGCTGGAGAACAGACCACCTTATACAAAACTGTGCCTCCAACCTCTATTTATACGCCTTAGTGACCTGACCTCAGTCAAACCCACAGAGGGCCTGATAAGGCGCGAGTTCGGTGGTGATAGCAAGGCACTCGTCTTTTCTGTTCATTTTAGGATTTTTCGCAGCAATCCAAAATGCCTCTAACGTTTTGCGTGCCAGGAGTTCGGGCTCAAACGATAAGATCTTTACTGCAATCTGAATTTCAGCACCTTCATGACGGCTTATTCGATGTTGCCCCAGTGGTGTGGAGGGCCTTGATTTATTTAGCCCATCTAGATGTTCCTTGATGCGAACACAAAGAGGGCGCCCGGTCTCTCCGATGTAGGTGTCTCCACATGATAAACATGTGATCCGGTAAATCACTCCTGACACCATACAATCATCCTCTCTGCTATATGGGCATATTACACAACCTGGAGTCAAACAAATACGGTCATAAATGCGGTTGCGAACCAGTCGGCGCTTCAAATGTGGGGGTGGTATATCGACCACTCTAACGGCCTCTTGCAAACCCGCGCGTTGACTTCGTCTTTCCAGGCTCCGAAGAAGGCGTAGATCGCCGAAACGTCGACGTCAGCCAATAAAGTTATCATACCAATCTTGGTCAAGATCAACAATCTCACCGAAAAGTGCTTACAACAATGCCAAGATTCAAGGAAAGTCGAACCTTCACCATACTAAGAGATCTCTAATGTCTCAGAGACAATCTGCGTTCCTCCTAGGTCACCTCTTGTGCATACAGAACTTTCAAGGATTACTCTTAACTTCTGTTCTGCGATTTCGATTTGCTCTTCTAGCTTTGTCAAGAACGCTTTTCTGCGTTTGTCACCTGTGCGAAAAAATGTACTCAGTTCTTTTTCGCACTCTATGTTTACGAGGTTCAAGCTATCATGAACTTCTTTGTACATCTGTGCCATTAACGGGATTCGCTCTTCTTCCCGTTCACTTGACACCTCGCTATCTGTACTTGGCTGGGTCCTATGTTCCTCTTCATCATGCCACTCAAATCTTTATGCAACAAACTCTGTTTGAGTGTAGGACTCGATCGAATGCTACAAGCGAGTGACGTGAAACTCGAGTACACACAACAATGCACGAGTAGCTCTACCAAACTTCCGTGAAGTATGGTTCTGCGATGCTACGCACTCGCATTAGTTCTTGCAATTCGTATAAGCGGCCTTAAGCGCGTTCTATAACGTCAACGCTAATCGACGAATAGGTCGATAGGTAACGCGGGGATACGTCCGCCGCCTCAGAAATCAATATAGGGACCAGTTGTGCCCCAATCTATCGGTCTAAGACGCGATAGGCTTATGCGGAATACAATCGCCGCTTCATATTGATTTGGAGGTCGTTGACGCTCCAAAATTCAGCTTCTTCTGGAAGGTCTTCGACGCTTCCACAGTTGTCGGTGCTAAGTCAGCGGTTCAGCCCCCAAGTGGCAGTAGGACGATCTAGACCGCAGGTCCCACTGACTTAGCAGAACAACTGTTAAAATATATATGGTTTATCACAAAATATTGCAAAGCAGAAAAGAAGCTGATATGCAAATACAGAGAATAAAAGTAGCTGATGAGATATAGACGAGCTAATACAGAACAGTGAATAGAGGAACTGTTGAGAAGTTATTGAGGAACGAACTAGGCATCTCAGAACCGACACACGAGATATAATGCTTCGTACATCCCATGGGTTGGGTTCGAGACTAATAGCGTGACAAAAAAACCTAGGCCGGGCGCCTGGAGGCTACAATGACGCAGAGCATTGCGAACTCTCGATAACGTGGTTAAAAACCGGCAGAGCGTTGAAGGCAGTTTCGGCAGATTCAAACTTCCTGGGCTGCTATCATAATCAAAATCCAGGGCCTTGAAGTCAGAGTAATGCGCAATCTCCGCTTATAAACACTCCCTAAAAGAAGAGAATAGACACCATACTACATCTTTGAATCCGGCTCACTTCCACCGACCATCGTTTTAGAACGAAGCTTCTCAAACATTTTCAAATGGCAAACAGTTGGAACTACTGTTTACTGCCAATGCTTGCTTTTCTTGGAATAGCGCCGTCCACTTGTATACGGTGCTCACAAAAAACCCCCAACAAAAGATCTTTTGAGATTCGCTTTCGAGTGCCATTTTTAGAATCTGCGCCATGAAGTTGCCTGGGTCATTATTAAAGAAGAAGGTCAAGAGTTTGCTCAAGTTCTGTCTTCAGATACCGGTCATCTGCTCCATCGTCTCAGCTTATATACGGATTTGGGATCCACTGATACATCCAAAAAAGTAAACGATGCAAAGTGGAATTTGATGGAACTTACTTCCACACCTTCATGATTACCATGAACTGATTTTCGAGTAGTTCCGCATAGAATGGGCATATCTCAATGGAAGCTTCCTTATAGCAGTAAACTTTGCTTTCCTGCTTATCATATTCTATCATTCTAGTTCAGATGCGAAGATCAATCAGGCTTTGGCCAATTTTACCGGTTATCCGTGTTACCGGTGTTACCCATGTTTCTCGTGTTACTAATGTTACTTGCGTTACTCACAAGTTAGTATTAACGCGTTTTCAAATGAGACTGTATTGGGTTCATTTCACTATTCAACAGCAATAAAAGCGGTAACGCTAGTAACACCAGTAACACGAGTAACACAAGTAGGGTAACACCGGTAACACGGGTAACACGGATAAAGCATGGCCGAAGTCTTAACTCGAAACGTGGCTTTTTCATAAAGGATTTTGAAAAGAAATGTTGAAGAGAAAGCTTAACATGTTTAAGATTGCTACCGGACAATGGTATTTTCTGAGCGGGCACAAACGGAATTTTCGTCTGATTCTGACTCTTTAAACACCGTTTCCGTCAGTTCAACTTACTGCCTACCTCAGCTTACGGGCAGCACGTTAAACTGACCTTGAAACGACCGGACGGTCTTGATTGTTCAGCCTGTCATCTTAAAGTTCTCCTGAAGGAATTCTAGTTTGACTGAATTTATTACAGCCCTATATGATGCCAAAAGAGATAGTATCACGCTGGTATTCGCAGCAAATACGCATCTTTTCTCCAAGTAAGAGGTGCACGTTTGTTACAGATGTTCCGCGCGAAACCTCCACTATCGGCGAAATATAGTCTTCTTGTCCTCTATCTTTCGCTCCACTAAGTTTTGCGTAATTCCGGCGGCAGTTTTCAGAAAATCCCCACTTACTGCGTCTTTGTAGCCTTTAGGAGCCAATCATACAGATAACCTTCTTGCTAATCCTTGCAAGTGATCAGATCTTCGGAATATAATAGATGGAGCAAATTAGTGAAAAGTCTGAAACATTTAAAAGCGGTGACTCGTCAAATCATCGACCTGAAATTTTTTTGCTTGTCTGGAGTTATTCGATGCGTCGGTTCCAAAAACCACCTTGGAGAACTCGAGTATGGCGAATAAAGCATTTTCTAATGATTTCTAACCTTACTCACAACACTCAATCAGCATCCAAAGCCCTGTTTAAATTTGCCTTCACACTGCTCACAAAAGTGTGTCTCTTTGGTTGATCAGGAATTTTTTTTCGAATTACATTCCGAACATTTGTACCTCAGTACAAGAAACGGATTTCTAACGTCCGGGTCATCCTGCCTGCAGTACGGCAAAAACATCAATAGGACACGAGAGCAAGTCTCTGTTAAAAGTCATTTTCTTCACCTAAACTTTTATGGCAAAGCTAAAGCTGCTCACTTAAAAGAATAGGCTGTTGTTGACACCAAAAGAAAAAACAATTAGACCTGTAAATGCACTTTTAGTCAAACAGAGACTAAAGAAATTGTTGTTTATGGGAAAACTGCTGATGTTCGATCCTGATTTCAAAAGCTATCGTTGCACTATGGCCGTGTGCTGACGGATTAATCCTGTGCTCATTTGAAAATCAAAGTTGCACTAGTTTGAGAAATTTTAATCAAAATCGGAACAAATATCAACTTGAAGTCATTTGGAATGTCGAAAGATTTTTATGCAGTACCATCACTAGAAGAGTCTATAGGTCAAGTATAACTCGTTGTATGCCTAAGGACGAAGTGCTATTATATGCCCAAGCAGTTTAAAGCATTAACGCAATACGCTGAGACAGTTCATTCCAAATTACTTTTTGTTAAGTTCTCCATGTTTCCGCTGTAAGACGCACGAATCATTTTGGCTCCTTTTGCTGTTTCATCAGAGGGTCAAGAAAAGACTGTGAGAAGCTTATCTTGATATAATTCAATGTTCAATCTATGGTAAATATTTATGCTTGATTACGATCAAAACCAAATTTTTTATTCATGATTTCCAAAATGTACGCTTTTTTTTCTTCAAAAGACACACAGTTTTCATCTTCTTGCCGCAACGTTCATAAGCACATCCAAAGTCCCTCGCATATCGGGTGGCATTCTTGGCTTGGCGCTGAAAATCATCATCACTTCGATTTAAGAAGAAGAGTATACAGCCAACATCTATCTTTATTCCAGTCAAGCCCTGATGATATCTGCATCAAAAACTGTCAATTTTGGCAAAATAAGATCGACTGATGGATTTGTAAACGGCTTAGATTGCTTAATCAGCCAAATAAAACCTCTTACCTTCCTAAATTCATGCCTCCAGTGGTGCAAAACCTTTTTCATAAGTTCACTCACAGTGCGAGGCCTGTAAGAACTCTTACGTTAGAATAGACTTCATCTTAAGTATTTGTACATACCCATAGAATATCTTGGTAAGTTTCCGATAGGAGGAACGGCGACTTATATCTTTCAAATCCAAAATTAATTCCGCTTTTCGTGCAGTTTTGCAGTCGTACATCTAAAGCGTTTTGTAGAATTATGACAACACATTTCAATCATTTCAACGTAACATACTCCCTTTTCATAAAGATTGTGATATTCAGATGGAAATAGCGTATTACACGTTGATATACGGGGTGTCAAGTGTTTTGAAGACGAATACCTTTTAAGAAAAATAAAACAAACCGAAATCACATATCCTCTCTTTTTTGGATAGTTGAAGTTCACTTGAAGCACCCTGTTGAAAAATGCAGTGGACTTTCTCACAGAGCACTTTTGGTGTTTGTGTTTGTATTGTTGAGCAGAGGCGATCAGAAGCGACAGTACCTAGAACTCTTGCTCAAAGTCTTCAAACAATTTGAAGTGGATCATTTTGGATTTTGATCAGACATTTAGATTAGAAATTGAAACTTACAACTAGCGTTAGGCACAGGCGTGACATTTCTATCTTTATTTTCTTGCGGGCCTCTTAGGCTTTTTATACACTCCCTTGCAACGTTGTGAGCAAGTGCACTAGATTTTCTAATTTTTCATCCATAATTACAAAGCGCCCTTCTCTGTTTAATTCAAAATCTCAAACTGAGTGCAAATGCGTTTATGGCACTAAAATAAAAGATTATTTTCAAACTTTGTTTCATCGCCGTAATATCCATAATTCGCTACTGTTCTTCGGTACATGGCCCTAAATTCAATCAAAATGAGCAGAGATTTCACCTTTCACTGTTCAGCGATTGATCCTCCACATATGCTGGTATTACTCGTAATTGTTTAGCGAAACAAATAGTTGAGATAACAAGCAACACAATTCTTAAGCTTTTGTGGGCCAGTTTTGTCCAAGCCTTATTTCTACCTTAGCCTTTCTTTTAGCCTTATTTCTTGCTTTTTTAGATAAATAACAAAAGCACAGAGCTGGTCACATCGGTTTTTGCACTTATCAAGGTAAAATCAAAAAGCTATTTTCGAGGATGTGGGTAGTGCTGGTTCGCATATTGCGAAATGTTAGAAGAAGGAGTACAGCACAAAAAATGCGTCACTGCTCATGCAGCAAAGTCAAAATTACAGAAGTACAACCATCACCTTCCATAGATTTCTACGTCTCTTTGGACCAAAAAATGCAGATATGATGAATGAGGAGTCGAATATCTGCATTTGCTTTTCAGTGTTTATTTGAATCAAGCCATACTCAGCAAGCTAGAACAATAGGTGCTGTACATAGTAATCAAAAACAAGGCACATTTGACTGATTTTGTTAGTTACATAGTTGGTAGCGGAAAAATATTGCTGCTGTTAATCATTGTGTTTTTTCTTTATAAATAAGCTTATTCTAACCGTTTGTGATCGATACGATCGCGCGCTAAAGTATGACATTCACATTACATACATTTTGCTTGCATTACCAATAAGAAATAGTTGTCAGTAAATTTTTGGAAACGTTACGTCATGTTCGAACTTTTAGGCTCAAATGAGCTTTTCGCAGATAAAGATCGCACTTTTGAGATCAGCATTTACCTCAGCGGCCTACAATTCACCTCGCTTCGATGGGAGCCTCATTCCTTGTAAAAAAAAGCTGTTCTATCATTTTCTTGTACAAACTCTTAATTCTAGGTGTCTTCTCGACAAAGAAGTCATTCTAAGAATCAAGCAAAGGTAAAGTTTTGCTAAAAAGCTCTACAGTAGTCGAGCTTTCTGGCAAAACTTTGCCTTTGGTTAATTCAATGTCCGCTTATGGCTATGATTGGGTTAATTGACAAGATGGTCGCCATTTCTCGGCCTGCGAGACGGCCCTCGTGCACCGTTAGCCTTACAAGGGAACGATGTTTAGTCGAAGTGAGTTTCCAGATAAAATGTACATCATATTGGAGAGTATAAAACACTTATTTCGAATCTGCCTTCCTTATCTGCAAAATCTTCATTGACGAGGTGTTGAGCCTTATATGATTGAAGAATTACATGTGTAAATAGGAAGAAATTTGTCGTGATATCTTCCTCTAGCGCTGGATGGAGCAATGATGATTTTTAGAGCACCTTATTCAACAACTACTCTCAAATAAAAAATGTATCCCACTTGGTTGCTTTATTCAAGGGCTGGGGATATCCTAGCAACTCATTTTATCTTGAGTGCAGTTTTCTTTTTTGCTTCAATGAACGCTTATAACTCTTCGTCCACAATCGTTTCGCAGGTAAGGAAGGCCAATTTCCACTTCTACTAAACATGGTTTCCTTGTTAGCAGCCTGACTACTGCAAGGCTCTAATTGGTAGGAGGCCTGCGACGATTGAGTAATTGAGAGAACACACTGTAAAACGCTGGTTCCGAACCAGACAACCTATGTAAAAGCACTTCCCCAGAGAAAAAATCGAAAAATTTTCCGGGTTCTACTATAACTCAAAAAAATTGAATGTGGGTGGCTCAAATGGCGAGTTCTTACGACGGCGTTGCAGAAAGGCATGCACCTCGTGGCTGTCTGTAATAATAGATATTAAAGAACTATATTCATTTTACCTGGATAAATATCATTTCACCGTCATGGACAAGTCCTAGATTGTCCATTTACCTCTTCAGCCGCCAGCTTACCTGCATGGCCCTTGTTAGCGCACTTGGCGGCGCATACTTTCATGTAGGCGATCTTAAAGTTGTATTGTGAAGGAAATGAGGGCTCAAATGATCCGAACAGTTGAATGGTGCTGTAATCTTGTCGCGATCTTGCTTTGCTTATCTATAATCTGGTATTGTGTATTTTTTTTTGTTCTACCTTGTTTTGCACGCATTCCCGCCGGTTGGCGAGATCAGGCACTCGGCGGCATGCGTATCTCCTCGGCCGCTATATAAGGCGGTTTCGCCCGGCTCAAATCACTTTTCTTTTGTCTTTCTGTCACCTAGCGTGAGGTCAAACAATCAAGGAGCCAAGCCGAGAAAATACGCGGACGCCGATCGCCTGGAGGACGACTACTCGATAAAGGATTTTTTCAAACCCCTGGACACCACGCCGAGCCCCCGCGATAGCGCCTAGAGTAGGCCACCTATTGCGTGACAGTATTAATCACATTGTTTTCCGATTACCATGACATTCACTACATTGAGGTGCAAATATCAGCGCTGTGCTACTTCTTCTCCTTAAAGGCAGCGTCCCGGCAAAAAGATGGGTGCGGGGTTTTTGTGGCGATGCAAAGTAGACCCCTTACCTAAGCAATGACTGAAGTTCGGAGCGAAAGAAGGGGTTTACCAAGCCTGAAATTTGCTCCGAAAGTGGCCCGAATCTTACGGTAGGCCCGGACGCCGCCCACACCGCGATATCGATTTGCAAGGCCAGGTTGCGTATAGCGCACACAGCTATGAGCGCAGGGTCCCGCAACAACTCTGCGTCTCTCGCATGCACTTCGTACTCGCCCAAGCCTACCGTAAGATTCGGGCCACTTGAGGGCAATTTGAGACTTCGTAGACCCCCTTTCGCGCTGCAAACTTCTGTCGTCGCTTAGTTAGGGAGTCTACTATTACATTATTACCAGAGTCGGGTACCCTCAGTCGATGGGTGCCTTTGAAGAGCAACCAAGACGTTGTTAACTTTTTGCAACAAGCAACAATTCAGCTTATTGCCTTTGCAGAGCCTGAACATCGAGTGTATAAACTGTTCTCTTCAACGCCAACAGCCGAGCTCAAATTATCATTCAGGCGATGGCTAATACGGCCAATAGAATCAATGAATGATAGCGCTGGAGAATTATCAGCTACCGAATTAAGTTAGGTAACACCAACGGCTACCGCTGAACGGAGGCGCAAAAGCAGTAATACTGTGGCGTGGTGAAAGTCGTTCGCGCCCCTAGAGTCTTAAGCTTTCTTCCAGCAGCTTTCTTTCTAAATTTTTAAGAGTAGCCGGCTACTTCACCTTGCTCGGAATGTGATCACGCTGCAAAATACAATTAGGTCATGGGACTGGTAAGTAGAACTGTACAGGAATTGCGAAATCTATATATATATAAAACTCAATGTCTGTGAGGATGTTCGTTTAATTGTTCGTTCGTTATAGAAACGCCAGCCATTGAACCGATTGAGCTGAAACTTCGCATACATATGTTTTCGACCCCGGCGGTGGTTTATAGCTACTCTTTACGGCGATCCGCAGGGTCCTTCTATTGATTTATTGATTTGTTTACTTAAATCTGGGAAAATGAAAATCTGACGTGCTCTAACCAATCGTTTTCCAATAAACATGTAAGCAGAGGTGGTAAAGTTCATTCTTCTCTTAAGGTCGACAGGATGCAGCGGTTTCGTCTCAAAGCGCTTTTTGTGCGTTGTAGAAGTTAGAAAGTGTAAGTACGATCGAATTTCAAATTCGTGTGGAGGCGCTGCCGACTTCACTGATTTCAAGGATAAGCTCAACGAGAGAGAGTGCAAAATACAGTGCTATAACGTGGAGCTTTAACAAGTTTATCCTGAAGATCAGGAAAGTTCGCAACCCGCCTCTGCACGAATCTGTGAGCCGATGACATATTAGTTAAACTAAGAGTCTCGGGTGAGACCGGGGCCATCAGCTAGTGTCATATAAAAGTGTGGAAACTAGACCATCATATATTGACAGAGAAAGCAAATCCAGCTATCTTAGGTAGTTCTGTACATAATGGTTTCAGTTACAATAAATAATTCTAAAATCTGGCATATGGGGCCTTCCGCAATCCGTCCAGAAATAAGTTTGATACGAGATGTTAAGGTAGTCACGATGAAAAAAAGGAACTGTTGTAAGGCAGACCTAACTGAAGACGAACTCATCTGAGCCGAAAAGGCGGCCTCATATGTCACATTTTATGTGTTTGATTTTGAAGAACATAACATGGAAGTGCTTGGTACTGTTGTTATTAGAAGTGTTATTATGTACATACCTTTGAAGACAAACGGTATGTACAATGTGTGAATAGATATCAAGGTAGTAAATGTTGTTGTCCTTGTGCATAACTACTTCTTTAGATGGATGTACGATTCGCAGCGCTTCATCAAGAATGCTAATATGAAGCTCTAGAACCTATGCTGAAGTGCTAAAGGGTCAAGTAATTTCCTGGTCCGTATAGATATAGTTTTTCCTATAAATCAGAAACTGTAGCACCTGATCGGTAACTAAACTCAAGATTTTTTCCAATCAGAAATTGTAGATCGAGCACTTGCTGCTAGTTGTAGTGTTGAACAAATTAAGACAATATTGACGTTTTTTTGCATTTTACAATCTTAAGTGATACTTCTTAGATAAACAAGAATGGTATTCAGCGTTTAGCGCACTTTTCTAGAAATAACGATGTTTTCATCTCAAGATGCCTGTGATTTATTCCGTGATCCTTGTTTGGATATACCTGAAAACGTTTGGATAATCAAATGGTATTACAGCTTTCGACTAACCATCAAATCAAAGTCGATAGCTTCTCTTTGTAATGCTTTCATAAACAATGCACTGTTTTGAAAATGCACATTTTCTGCAAAAGACAAAAAGCGGTCAACACTGTGAAATTTTGTATTGCGAGAAACAAAATCATCTAAATAGTCTCCAGACTGGCATTACAGTCACTCCAGCAGCAGTAGTTTCCCATGACCCCAAAATTACTGTACTGACTGCGGCCGAGATAGAATGAAGAATATGCAAAATAGTGCGATTATCTTCCGATGAGAGAGGACTTTATTCTGCACTAACGAAAAATATCAAAAAAGCCAAACTGCGATAGTTCTAATTACTTGCTAGACTTTGAAAAATATTACTTATTAGTTGAAGAACTTATGATTCTAGTATGTTCGGCTATCGAATTCTTGAAGCGACAGCGGATATTGGGAACTATCAAAATCTAGCGTACCTACTTTGTTAGATAGGACTAAGTTATGCGCTGGATGAAATAGCTTGTGTGAGCGACTTTGCTACTACCATTAGGCAAAACCAGTGTTTCTGAGCAAACTCAGTGAGCATGTTTTGTTAAAGTGAATCAAGCATTTGTGCAAGCACTAAATGCACAGCTCTACCTAACATGTCTTCTGGCCGCTCTCAAAAAAGCAGGTATCGTATGCGCTAACTAACTTTCCGCGAGTGCACCATTTCCGCTGCCGTTTGAAGCAATGACTCGGCAAGCTGGACATCTTGAAATTTTGATGTAGAAGGTTGCTTACTCTCTCTACCCTCCCACCCCCCCCCCCCAATTATGAATACGAAGTACTGAGTGCATATCATGGCTCCTCAAATTTCACGGGTCTAATGCAAACAACTGCCCTTACTCGTGGCGCAAGCCAGTTTTGGCCCCCCTTGGACGCGATTCTCCTCTTATCGTTGGAGGTACATGGTGCAATGTAACAAATCTGGCCGAGTCAATGCCTTCAAGCAGTATATGAGCTAGGATTTCAAAGTCAGTTTTTAACCGAAATCTCTATTTGTTTAGATTTGCCTGAATGCTGTTTTGAAAATTGTCTTGAGATTTTCAAATAGCTGTTAAGTTTGTACTGAACGCAACGTAGGGTAGCTCCATTATTTCTTGCTACTACGTCAAAATTGATATTACCACGAAAGAAGTCTAGTTCAAGTCTCTATGTTAATACCCTCGTTCTTTGAGCTTGACGAGTTAGCTGGTTCCGTTACGTGCTTATGCTCAGTTGCAGACAGCTTTTGAATGCACCTTGCGTTTATGACCCATGTTGTGAAGTACTTTGTAATCATCGAGAACGCACGCTTTGGAGGCAATATACTAGGTTGTTACATAAGTCTTGTTACACTTAATTTCTAACGGCGATAAGTCATGCACCTCATATTTTTTACAGAACTTTCGGATACCCTTCGATAGAACAAAGCAAGTTCTACAAAAAAAGTGTGCAAAAGTTCGCACCAACTTCGACCCACCGTAATTTTGCACCCAAAATTGAGTCGTAGTGAAGGTAAAAATTGTGAAAACTTCATATCTTTGTTCAGAAAAAGCCTACGAATCTTCAACTTGCTCTTAAAAATTGCCCACTTTATCAAACACTCATATGTACCGTTGCTGTTTTTATTCCTCACCTAGAAATAAAGAAAACGAAAATTTCCTTGTTTTTACACAAACGAAGCTATGCTGTCTCTCTTCATGTAGCTGTACACTACAAGCCCTTAGAAGTATAACCGTAAACTTTCAGCTTTTCAGAAGCCTTAGTTTTCGAAAATTCCCTAATTTAGAATTGAACACCCAAGTGAAAAAAGCTGAATTCGGTATTTTTCGAAAACCAGGGCTTCTGCAATGCTGAAAATTTACGGTTACACTTTTAAAGGCTTGCAGTATACAGCTACATGAAAAAGCAGCATAACTTCGTTCTTGTAAGGACTAAAAAATTTTCCTTTTCTCGATTTCTAGATGAGAAAGAATTATAGTAACGGTACATGTGAGTGTCTGATATAGTGTGCAGCTTTTATGAGCAAGTTGAAGATTCGTAGGATTTTAAAGATACGAATTTTTCGCGATTTTTGGGCCTTCCGTGCGACTTATATTTCGGATGCAAACTTACGGTAGGTTCGGAGTTAGTGCGAACTTTTGCATACTATCTTGTAGAGCCTACTTTGTTCTATCGAATGATACCCTCAAGCCCTATGAAAATCATAAAATTATGAAGTCCACGACTTATCGTCGTGAGAAATTAAAGTGTAACAAGACTTAGGTAGCAACCTAATATTACAAACTTTGTTGCGAATGGCTAATTTCAATAATAATTTTGTGGAAGACTTTCAAAAACGCGTTCTCCTCTACGCCGGTTCAAACTGGCACGAGAACAAATATGAATAAGGAGAAAGAAATGATGAGCGCATTCTTAAAACTCTGAAAGAAGTTGCCATCGCTATCAGTGCAAAAACGCACAATGAAATTGATCACTCTCGCGAGAATCATTGCAAGAAGGAAGAAGGCAGACCGGTACCTAGTTAGGGTTTCCTGAGGATGACAGACACATGGAGCGGATATAGACTGATAGAACGATTGAATCAAGGAGCTGGAATTCTAAATTAGAAACTGCGAAAATAATGACTGATGTCGTCCCCCCCCCTCTCCCAAAGGAATGCGGCTTGGTTGAAACGGCGTCAACTAATGGACCTACTCTGCCACCGTAGAGCAGAATGTATCTCCATCGGAAATGCTACGATGGGAGAGAGACACTCGCACGTGTGTACATATATGTGACGATCACCATTATTATGAAGTTGCTCTAACTGCGGGCTGCGCAGGCGCTATAGCTACGCTATAGCTAGCTATATGTTTACGTTCAAGGAGGATTTCGTAACAAGAGCCGGCGGCTACTGATTACAACAAAGCGACCCTGGAACAGCGCATCCGGAGGAAGTGGGGTGATTATCGAGTTAGCCGAATCCTTAGTGAATGCACTGCTTTGTCTCCATTTCTCTAGTGACCCTTTCCCTAATGTTGAATTGTCGTAATAATAAATGTTCAATAGCATTGGTTGGACTCGTCCATACAATCTCTTCTTCCTCAGACACATTTACCGGCCGGCGGCCGGGCGAAAACCGACTGGAGCAACATCGTCATTTTGGGCCCTCTAGGTTGCTGGCCGGTCAGACATCCACATCGACCGGCAACACCGGCCGAACTCAGACACTCGCTGTTGACTCGCGCAGCCCAAAGTTTTGTGTAAGCGCTGAATGAAGGCGCGACACAAGTAAACGGCCTCGCGACGAAATCCCGAGACAGCATTATGTGTTGGAACAATGCTGCCCGAGACCACGCTTTGATGCGACCCGCTCTTGGAGAAAATACGCGGCAGCTCGAGGGCGACACATCCTGATGTCCGGACGCAACTGGAGCGCGTTATCTCGCATTAGTAATTTCGCTATATCCCTACTTGCTGTTTACATATATGTATATACTTACATGTGTATGTACAAATATACATTATATATATAAATGTACATATATGTATTCATATGTATATATATAAGTGTACATATATACGTATATATGTACACGTATATAAATGAATTCTACAAAGTCCAAACTAACCAATTTATTAAATCTAAAATGACATAAGGATTAATTGGAAACTTCATTAGCACATAGTAAATTTACTTCAATCTTAGGAACATTTCAATGTTCCTAAGATTGAAGTATTTATGTTAGAGTTATGAGTTAGAGTTAGAGTTATGTTCGATGTAGCCACGCAAGAAAATCAAATAAGATCTTATCTTAAAGCTTCACGATATGGAGATACATGATGAGATAGAAGTGTACTTGGTAATCTTCTAAACAATGAGAATCTCGGAATGCAATTAAGTGATACGCAAAAGCGGGAGTACATTTAAGGCAAATGATATGATAGTGATATGTAAGTACAGCAAATTAGAAAAAAGTAGTAGCAGATTGGCTAAAACTCGTCAGGGCTGGTCTTTTCTATTTCCTTGACAGCAGAAGAGCTGTTTGCCGTAGTCTCGATCACACGCTTCTTCTGAACAGAAAAAACCATGTCGACGAAGACTGGGAATAAGTTCCCTGACATACTACCTTTGGAAGAAGAAGTTTAGCTCTTACCGGATTCAGTACATAAGCTCGTACATCTCTCATCTAAATCTCCATCTCCATCACCATGCCTTGAAATACCTTGAATGCCTCAGCTGGTTCCTAAACCAATGTAATTTGAACTTAAATTCCACAATGCCACAATCACGGAGATAGTCGAGCTTCGATTTCTAGAGAAGAAACTTCAGAATTGGATTTCAAATAAAGTTAATTTTGGATTGGAATGAAATAATGGAAAGAAGAGGGCTTAGGTGGGATGGATGGAATGTACGAATTGAAAATAGGTAGCAAAAAAACCCGGAATGATGCAATATGAGCTGACATTTGAAATGCACGTCGATATTGCGAAACTGCTCGCTGAGTCACTCATCATCTCCCGATTTCCTTTCGCGACCATCCGCGAAAACTGTCAAAATATTGTCTCGCGCATGTCTACGCCCTTTCCCGCGAATCCCTCAAAAAGGGGCGGATCTCCGGCGCGAGTCAACAGCGAGTGTCTGAGAAGGCCGACTAGACTGGAAGAACATCGCATTCCGTGCGGGACGCTGATGCACGCCTGCCTGCCCTTCAGTAAAAGATTGAGTCGGGGCACTTTTGCCTTAAGGCTAAACTCGGGCACATTTTCCTCCTCTTTCTCGTGCTATTTTGAAGTGCTTTATTATGCTCCTTGTAACACTTACTTCATTCCAAACCAAAGTAACAATATGTGTGTGTGAAAAATTTGTTCAACACACTTGTATACATGATAGAAGCATCTGCACGCAATAAAAACATATCCATGCAATTCTCTAGTAACTACAACAAACTAAAAGCGCTTACAAGCAAAACACACTCGATATGCACAGATGGTACGGCCGCAGTTTGAAATCGAGTTACAATGACGGGGTGGACATTCAGAGGAGATCAACTTTTTCATAAAACAACCTGAGCAAAAATGAATCTTAAAGCAGCATTATTAGTGGTCTCGACTAAGGTTCGAAAATTTTGAAAAAAGAAACCATGCCAGAAATCAGTAATCGACTACTACTGACAAGCGAAGTCCGTTTGATCGAAGTGGTCTTTTCACACGAAATTGATACGACTATAAAGAGCATCGAACGCTAATTTCAAATCTGTCTTCATTATCTGGCGAGCCCCTCTGGACGTCGAGTTATGAGCGTCTTTTGGCTTGAAGGATTGAATGCATAATTAGAAGAAAATTTGTCGGAATGCTCAAATGGTCCAATGTTAATTATCAGGAGCACTCCATTTGAACAATATCCTTTGTTCTAAAACACTTATACTTAACACTGCTCTAGAGCACTGAAGAGACGTGAAATTTGATCTTACCTAACTAATGCGCTCATTTTTCACACCAAGAAAATATAACTCGACATGCAGAGACCCTCGACAGATAATAAGATGAATACAACCACCACCGTTTAATGCTCTTCAAAGTGGTATAGACTCATTTGGAAAAGCCACTTTAACTAATCGGACCTCCCTTTTGAGATATCAAATATCGTTAAGGTTAGTGGAAATATGCGGTTAGATGTGTGCAGTTTCTGAGGTTGGACATCTTCGGTAACAACACCAACAGTATTCCAGAGGAAAGATTTCTTGAAGATGGTGTCAAAAAATGATCTTTTAAGCTTCTGTAATGAGACCACTCAAAAACTCACATCTTCAACCCCATAGTAGGCAGACATTCTCTCGGATTAAAAAGTAAGATAAAATGTACATCGTTATTCAGTGAAGTGTCTGTAGAACAACCGCATTATTTCTCGAAAGCCACCACTTCATGGATGCAATCGTGGAAATCAATAACACGGCAAAATGTTGATATTTTCCAATGGTGGGTGCATTTTGGTGCATTCGTTGCGTATTTTCGGACTCGGCGCACGCCAGCCGATAAAATTTTTGGTTGGCTCTAACAAGGGAAGGATACCAACATTAGTTGGCAACTGAAGATGAGATGTATATCATTAGATGCGCCTTTAAACACTGATTCCAAATCTGCTTTCCCTTTCTGCGGAATAAGTTTCCGAAAGAAGTTATGAGCGTTTGAGTATTCAGATTTGCCAAGCATTGAGTGGCTTAAAATCAGCGAAAAGCTCTAAGACAACACCTATGCGATTTTCATCGGCTTCGTTCCTTCCTTACAAACAATATAATCGATACAAAAATGAATTTTCATTTTCCGGTGCTTTTGTATTGCCCGGTCGCCGGCCGTTGAATGTGTCTGAGCCGGTCATGTCCGCAATTACTTCTTTGTGCCACATAGGCGATCACGGCGAAAATTGCCTTAGAGAGACTCTCTAGCGTCTTCGAGAATCAAATTTGTCCGAAAAGATTAATACATAACCCAAACCGCTGCTCCGTTCTGGAATCAGAGTTTGGGCATTACAGCGGCTCAACAGAGTGATAAAAAGGCTTGACGACACTTTTATCACCTTTCATCATCTTTCGTCACCTCCTCATGGAGCTGGTTGTGATGGTCAAATTTTGTTGGGAAGAGGGCCATGATAGTCAACGAAGACAACGCTCGGACTCTGATACTATATACATACACCATTTGGCAAGTTCCCATAATGCAGAATTTTTCCAAAAGAACAGATAACTTCACTATAGTTTAAAGAGCAGAAGATGGTAAAATTATTAGTCTTAACAAGAGAATGGCGCAGAGATACCATTCATTCTCAAAAACCTAAATAGCCTTCGTTCTTGCAGGAATATAAAGAATGATATCGAGTAAAGCCGTAACAGAATTCAAGCTGGAGCTAATCACATGTTGACTTCCTAGGGTTCACGAAAATTACCTTAAACTTTTTATGAGTATAGCATTTAGCAATCCGTATATGGATTGAATACGGCAAAAATGGATTCAGGAGCGCAGGAGGAAGTGCGCGTGGATACCTATACATATAGTGGCAAAATGTTGAAGGTTTTCGTTGCTTTCTGATCAACCAATTATCTTTCATGCAAAAACCATCACTAAGTGCACTCGCTACATGTAAACGCGCAACAATGATAGGTGACAGGACAATTACAGACAGAATCCTTGTTTGAGTGGGCTGTATAACTCGAAAGATCTTATAATAAACTCTACTTCTATAGTGGTAAAATGCATTTAACACTACAAACCGTCATATAATCCATGTACGAGTAATAAGCGAGTTTCCTTAAAGTTCGCAACGTTCATAGTAATGTCGTTTTCATAAAAAGCACTAGAGGCTTGAATGCCCATGTAGCGTTCTGTGTATGTTGCATCTGTAATAATTGTTAATGTCAGAAATTCAGAAATAAAAAATAAAATCATTTACCGTAATAAAGAAAATTCGCGACGGGTGCAATGGAAATAGCGCATTTGAAAAAACCTGGACGAGCTCGCTCTGATAACAGTGCAGAAGCATAGCCGCCGTAGGACCAACCATATACAGTAAGGCGGCTAGCATCTAGATATGGATGTCCCATTAGAACTTTTCTGAAAGTGGACAGCACTAAGCTTCCGTCGAGGACGTCGTCAACTTACCGTAACGCGCTCAGTTGATCGTCAATCTCAACTGTACCAAACGCTCCGTATAGTGCACTTCGATATTTCCAACCACGCCCAGTGGTTCCTCTGCCGTCAATCTAGAAGAGGTGAGCACGCAGTCACGTCAACAAAACACTCTGACTCACAGTTACAACAGCGTAGCCTTCATAAAGAAAACGTAGGACATTACCACTTATGTACGAATCAGTAGCCACCAACGGACCGGGACCGGCGTAACTACAAAATTATCACTTTTTTTGAATCTCATTTTCAGCACAATATTGTGAGCTGCAAAATTTGATTCTGTTACAAAAGATTGAGCAACCGATCCGTTTCATAGAGATTTATATGGACAGAATAATTTCGCTCTTCTAACAGCTTAGGCATGGTTTTTGTATTATCAGAAAATGCCTGAGAAATACTTTTTTTCAACAAAGATGGTGCTATCAAATGAAACACAAGATCTCTCTCCACGGAAATTCGTATCTGTCAAATGCCTTTGTAGACAAAGCTATAATGTATTCATGAAGAAAAATACGTGTGGATAACGTTAAAATTCAGACACGTAGGGGCCTTAATCTAGGATGAGCTGAATCAATATTAGTGTGTTACAGGATTTTCATGAACCTGGGCTAAAAAGCTACCTAGGTCAAAATTTGTATCGCACATGATTTTCGCAATACCCCTTTTTTCCCTTCAGCCCCCTTAAATCTTTAGTTAACCCTTGAGTTCTTTTCTACAGAGGCGCTGATCAGATGGGGAACAAATTTGATCATGCTGTTATTATGGATACGCCATAGGCAAATTTTGGACCTCTTTTTGCAAGCACTGAGCCCTATGCTCCATACTAATCGTAGAAGTACACCGGAGGTTTGCGAGGCTCATAGCACACCTTTGCTATCGATCGATATGCGTCGAATGTGTAAAACCAGCGGTTTTTGTTGCCGATATTGGCGATCGTCGGTGCTAGATACCGCCGATATCACCGATATCACTATTGATAGTCGTTAATATTGGCTACTAGCCGGCTTACCCGGCTCCACTCGGCCCTTCAAAACACTGTAATAAAGGTCCCATCCCTATCCCTCTACAACCTTACCCTGTACCCACTTCTACACTTCATTTCCCGTTCCCTGTATTGTTTTCAGCATGCCCACTTACCCCCCTGTGCCAAATCTCAGCCCCGTAGCTCAAACCTTGCAAAAAAATCGACAAAAATCGATAAAAGTAGCGGATAGTTCCAAAAACTAATATCGTATTCATAATCAGCATGCTCGATTACCCCTCTGTGCCAACTCCAAGCCTCGTAGCTGAAACTTTGCAAAAAAATAGATAAAAATCTATAGAATCGATACCGATCGATGACGAACAGTAGCCCATAAACACCCGCCCGGCCCCGAAGTGTATGTATGCAAAGTTTGGTCCGGATCGGTTCAGAAATGTAATTTTCTATTCGGAACATAAACATACGTACGTACAGACAGACATACGTACATACAGTGACCGCCAAAAAGTTGCGGACAAGTCGCCTTCATTCTTTCATCGCTCATTTTCAGATGGAAAACAAAGATGAAAAAATGTTTGGCTTGCATGTCGTGATAGAGCTCTTCAAGAGCTACAACCTACACCCTGCGCTTTATCAAAAACTGTATCCTAAAAATTGTAAACATCTTTTTATAAAAAAGGTCCAAAAATGGCCGCGTCACAATGTCGCGGACAATAATTCTTCGAACGCGAAAACTTTCTTTTAGGTCTTTTTTGCAGCAAAATTAAAAGTTCTCCGGACAGGTAAGCATACTATATTGCAGAACTCATCAAGGACAATAATCCAGTTGTGGTTACTTCCAAAAAACCCGAGCTTGAATTTTATTTTGCTTCTTTCCAAAAAATAACTTCTAACACCATGCTTCAAGCCAAATTTCTTCGCAAGGAAATCTATTCAAGACATTCTAACCAAGCTATTCGGATAAAATGGATGCTCTTTGCCATCTTCTATGCATCGGACGTGTGCTGATGAGTTTCTTTGCTGAAAGTAGCTCTTGACAGTGCGTTGGCATGACCCCACCTGCACCTCACCACTGACCTGCAGCGCTTTGCAGGGTTGTAGCTCGGCCAGCAGTCACTCTACGAGCCTGCTAGTAGACTCATTCGAAAGAGCGTGACTTCCCCGACACGATGATATGCACAAGAGCTGGGTATGAGAAACAGCGGAGATTTGGCGGATGGGGTGAGAAAGCCCAGCTTCAGTGGTAGGCTAAGGATTTCCTGCTGATGTTGAACAGAGCTTCTTTCGCTACAAGTTCCATCCTGGAAATTGAAAACTGTCGATGTTCTTGTAATAGATCCGTTATGAAGCTTCAGGAATGTTCGTGATAGTGTTGATAAGAGCCTCCACTCCAATCACCTCTCACGCTGCGCTTTATAATCCCATCCGCCAAATCTCCGCTGTTTCTCATACCCAGCTCTTGTGCATATCATCGTGTCGGGGAAGTCACGCTCTTTCGAATGAGCCTACCTGCGAGCTCGTAGAGTGACTGCTGGTCGAGCTACAAGCCTGCAAAATGGTGCACGTCAGTAGTGAAGTGCAGGTGGGGTCATGTGCACGCACTATCCAAAGCCAATTTCAGCAAAGAAACTTACCAGCACACGTCCGATGCATAGAATTATGGCAAAGGGCATCCATTTTATCCGAAAGCCTTGTTGGAATGCCTTGAATAGGTTTCCATGTGAAGAAATTTGGCTTGAAGAAGGGAATTAAAAGTTTTTTTGAGAAAAAGCAAAATAAATTCAAGCTTGGGTGTTTTTGGAAGGAACCATTACTTGACCAGTGCGTCATCTCTGCTTCGCAGAGGCTCGCCCTGGCTCTACTATCTATGTGTCTTACTCATTCTCGTAAAATCGTGGCACTGGAACTCACCGCGCTATGCCGACTACCACAAATAAAATGTAAACAACTACTCATTTAGAAAGTTTTTTCACGTGAGATTTCGCGTGGATGAAACTTTTCGCAAGAAGACAAACGCAAATTTGAATAGGTTTTTGGATTTGTCATGGCTTGGTAGTCGCCATAGAGGTAATAGTAGCCGTGAGCTACATCCCTTTGCGAAAATCTTCTCAAGCGCTTAGCTAGAACCTTGGCAAATTGACCATTTACACAACCAATTCTTTTTGGCGCCGTTTTCGTTATGCAGTAAACTTTCGACCACTTTTCGGGCTATACTCCAACGCTTGCACAGTTGCCTACCAAACTCGTCCACGACTTTGCAAAAAGTGGTGATACGGACCGAATTTTGCGGTATAGAAGCCAGGTGGACCCGTTTGGCACGCAATTTCTGAGGGATCAACGAATTTACTCGTGCTTTTGCATGTCGGACTTTCATGAAGGTAGCATGCGCTATACAAAATTTGGGCTTAGAACGCTGGCTGGGACACGCTCCACGAATTTCGTAACAGACACACTCACACACAGACACACAAAGTCACGTAAACATCCTTAACCCTTTATTGTAAGTTATGATTATTGTCTTCGATGAGTTCTACAATATAGTATGTTTACCTGTTCGGAGAACTTTTGTTTTTGCTGCAAAAAAAGACCTAAAGGAAGACTTTCGCGTTCGAAGAATTATTGTCCGCGACATTGTGACGCGGCCATTTTTGGACCTTTTTTATAAAAAGATGTTTACAATTTTTAGGATACAGTTTTTGATAAAGCGCAGAGTGTAGGCTGTAGCTCTTGAAGAGCTCTATCACCACATGCAATCCAAAAATTTTTTCATCTTTGTTTTCCATCTGAAAATGAGCGATGAACGAATGAAGGCAACTTGTCCGCAACTTTTTGGCGGTCACTTACATACATACCAGTGGCGGTCCCAGGATTTCCGTCCGGGAAGGGGGGGGGGGGCGGAAAAAATTTTTTTCAAATGAAAATGCGTGAGGTCAGCCACGCACTCCGAAAAATTCTTGGCGGTGCTTCTTAAAAATTTTTCGGGCTTCAGCTTTATACATAAAATTCGTATCGCCAATACTTACGTTTTCTTTCAAACGTAAAATGTAATTTGAGCACATGAAAATTGGTAAAATTTCGTAGAATCACACTTTTACAAGCTAAGTTGATACTTTTATGACAAGCGAACTTACACATAAAGTAGCACCGGTAACGATCTGGATCTTGACCGAAGTGATGGATCAGGCGGTAGAACAATTTTAACCAATGCTTCTGCAAAAAAGAGAAAAGATAGTTTCATAGTTAAAAAGACTTTTCTCAGGCTTGAGCTGAAAAATTCTTTTCGGCAAAGAGGCTTTTACATGCGCTTCAATCTGATACTGACCCCTGAACTTAAAGCTGATGCTCAAATCTTCTGCTGCTATGGCATTTTTACTGCTTGAAGGGTATGGGCTTAGTTGGCGTTAAAGGCAGTGTCCAGGCAAATCTTGGCAAATGGATTTCTTTGCCTGGAAACTGATAAGGAGGTTATAGATAAGGCACTGCCCAAACCGCAGCGCAAACGATTCATTCACGGCTGAGAAATCCATTCACACACACACACACACACCCCGCGGCCGCGCCGTGACCGTAACCCACGAACGACTTCGCTCAGGGTGGAGGAACGAACACCTCAATTAGGCAACGCCTCCGCGGACCATTTGCCCTAACACGATGCAAAACAATAGGACGAAAGGACCAGCAGCCCGCGGAGGCCGTACCTAATTGAGGTGTTCGTTCCTCTACCCCTTCGCTCACTTTAACACTACGTTCGCGCTGGGACCGATCCTAAGTGTTACGGTCACGACGCACAGCCGCTGGTTTTGGGACGGATTTCTCAGCCGTGAATGAATCATTTGCGCTTCGGTTTGGGCAGTGTCTTATCTAGAACCTCCTCCTCAATTTCTAGGCAAAAAACCCATATGCCCACCTGGACATTGCCTTTAAGAAATCTACATTACTCTACGGACATCCACATTAGTCCTGCGCTTGTTTCAATAAATGATTTTTCAATTACTAACTTAGGCATTCATTTCATTCATTTTTACTTGCCACAACTTCTAAGCTGCGCTTCCAAGTTTGCTAACAGTAGCCACGCTCAGGATAACAAAGCGCCCTTGTGTATGCCTTTCATTTCCTATAAATGCAGTGCAACAGTTAAACAATGTATAAGGCGAGCACAACTGCAAAATGATGATATGCTTGTGAACATTCCGAGTGAGAACATCAAGAAGCGGTTGGTAAGGAACAGGCTCTACGACGCAGAATGTCTATCAGAGCAATGTATTGTCTGCCCATACGGAAAAGTAGGTGATTGCGCGAAGGCAGGAGTAGTGTATGAATTGGAGTGCTTGAACTGCAAGGCGACATATATCGGAGAAACGGGTAGATTGCTGAATGTTAGACTTAAGGAGCATCTAGCGGCAAAAAGTCGAGCAAATGCAATGTCACCGTTTGGGAAGACACAGAATAGAAACGCACAACGGCGGTGAATTTGAAGTTAAATGCACTATTTTGTCATACAGGCAGAGATAATAGTGAGGAAAACCGTTAAGGCAGCGTGGATTTCCCTTTGAAATCCTAATATGAACCACAAAAGAAATGCATATCAATAACAGCCGAACTCTTGCCTATCTTAGCGATCTAGGAGCGATAGTCTGCACATATATAAGTGTCGATCATAGGACAGCACTCAGTGTCGTCTGTCTCTTCGGTGCGACTAAGTACTGACTCTACTGACTCTCACTAACACCACGGTGGGTAAAGGTTTGTCTTCTCATCGACATGCCCCTGTACTTTGAATGCGGAGCGTAGTCTAGACTCGGCAGTGAGGGGAGGCATTTGGCGGTCTGGTCCCACAGATATCACTGCAATCTACTTTCAGGCCTCCAACGAAGACGATTTTGTCGAAACGTAAGGCTAATAAAGAATTCCACCGTACAAACCTGGCACTGGCATAATATCATATGACGACAACATCATACTAACATCATTCGGAATGTCCAGGTTTAGAGAAGAAAGAACATTTAACTCTTACAGAGACTCGCTTCTGTCCATTGTTTGCATAACTAATCCTCTCCATCAATGGTGCTTCACTCCTTGGAGCCAAATGCAGAAGTCTTATTCAAATGACTTTCCAGTTGGTCCATCCGTTTCGCACATCATTTCACCTCTGCCTATCTCATTGGCGGTTTTTGTTTGCGAGCGTTCCGCTATGCAAGGTATCCACTTTATGTCCTTGAATGTGTGGTCCCGCTCTCAAGGTAGTACGTTGGTCACAAAGGGAAATTCTTTTTATTCCCGTACTGCGCAGTCCAGCAAGATGTTGGATTTGGAGAACTTCAGCAGCTTAAGTTCAAAGGCTGTGTCTCGGCGAATATCGTTTTCTAATTTTCCACTTTTCGGAGCCGTTCGCCATGAGGAATCCATATCTGGGCTTCTCAGCAAATGGCCAAAACGAGCTTCTTCCGAAGCTTTCCAGGCCCGCCTTTAGTGGAGAATACGCGTAAGTGGGCAATGCCTGGAACGAGAAAGGCAGAAGACTCCAGGCCTATATACACTTAATGCGGACCTGGAACTTCGAAAAAGACTCATTTACCCATTCTTAAGCGCTAAGAAGCCAAGATATGGGCCTCACGGCGAGAAGGTTCTGAATAGGTGAAAAACTGGACGGCGGAATTTTGCCGGCACGCTGCCTTCAAAGGCATGTCTCACCAAAATTTGGTTGTGAAACTTTTGCGTATTGCGAATCTTCTCGTCCCTGTCTAACTCAATGTGGGTCCAAAATCGCATACAATGTACGAGAACCCCGTTTTTTTGAAAGCCCTGTGGAAGCAACCCGAATGTGTTGTACCTTCTCAGCCTAACCTTCGCCACAGTGGCAGCAACACTATGGAGGTGGAAGCCAAGGAGAGGGGCATTTTGAAACGCGTGAGGGGGAAACCGGAAGAGTCGGCCGAATGGGGCCAAATCCGGCTTTGCGGGCTATTTTTGAAGACAAATTTTTCCGCATAGAAGGGCCCCGATGAAGACAATTTTGGGGCGATCGCTTATTGAAGAATTTTAACATATGTGGAGAGCACTACATCTATTTATTTTGATGAGGTACTGCCTTTGAGCAAGGCCAGGCTGCCTAAAGCTTCAAACGGGCTGCAGTATTAGGTCTTAGCGACACAGTGAGAGATGAATATACTTGGGTTGGAAAGCCGTCACTGGTATGTGTTACCAGCGTCTCAGCGTTGATTGACGAGTTAATAAGCCGCGCCGTCTTATGCTATTTGAACCCATTACTACATATATTACAATAAGTAGCTAAATAAGTTCTGCACTCCAATCAAACCGTGGCAGACTGCAGGACGAATTATTGATCGAAGAACACAGCAATATAACATAGCAGTGATAACACATTTATAGCACCAATAACACTAAAAATATTTATTTATTTATCAAATACATCGTAAACGATGCACTACCTCAAAATTGAAATACAAACAGACGACTAAATATGGAACGGGTGGGAGAAAAAGGCAAGAATGACCTCAAATTTTCTCTCACTTTCGAGTCGTATCCAACTGACAAATCTAGTAGAGTTCTTATATGATTTCGGGAAAATGGTAAAGCTCATAGGCTGCCGATAAAGGCCAACGTTGTAGAAAATGTGACTTCTGGGACCGAATGTGTTCGAAGATGATGTAGGTAAATAATGTAGAGGCGATGGCGTTGAGAATCAGGACTTAAAAAGTATGAGTAGATTTCTTATACATTATCAGGAGTTTTGAACATATGCACACCGACCAGCAAAAGTAGTATATATTGCGCTCAAAATACGAAGTGTTATGAAGTACTACTTGTGGCAGGTCATTTTCGGTACATGGTGCACCAGTCCATCCATTTATCCATCCATCAAATTGTCCAGATCGATCCATCCATCCATATGCATACATACATACATACATACATACATACATACATACACGTGTCCATTGATTCCTTCACTAACTCCGTATTTGAGTAACGAAATGTTGATTGATGTGCGAGCCCAAAGCTTCCAATAATGTACGTTGTGTTATACGGATGAATTATACAGAGCACCCTAGCAGGGTTCTTGAATACAATCGTGGGTAAGTAACAGTTTCGTTGTTACCGGTAAGTGGGAGATTTTCTTGAACTGTGTATTTGAGAGCAGTAAGGATCGACGAGTACAGGAAAAAGGATACGATATGAAAGTAGATGTACATGAAGAATTAACACTTGCATTTCGTCTCCCAGTACATGTTTTGAAGAATACAGCAGTAAGGGAAGGTAGTCATAAGAAGACAGAAAATTCAACAGAGAAATTAAATACAATCTGAGCTAAATTTGTCAAGGTAATTATGTTCGATTAGGAATTTCCTTAATTTATGTGGATCCAATGTTATCAGTTCTATAGGAAGTTTATTTAGTATGTAACACATGCGGGCACCAAATGAATTCTGTAGGCTACGTTTTCGCCATCCTTTGGAATAATGTGTGTAGGCGTTAATTATAAAATTAAAAATATGAAATTAAAATTAAATTAAAATTAAATTAATTAAATTAAAAATATGGCAAGACAGAAAAATTTTGTCAACTAACCGTAACCATTCCCCAAGGCAACTGTTTCAGTCAATACTTGTGGCAATGATACTTCCTCCAAGCTTTTTTGAAACGTCATTGTATTGAACATTTTATTCCCTAAATGCCTTACTACGAAAGGCACAAAACGCCGCGGCCCTTTTACTTACATTTTTCGACTTTTCCCTGCTCAATCACGCCAGAATAATAATGTTGAGGAGCAGGTCCCTGTACGAGGTTACATAAACATAGCTGGCTTTTGCGATTTTTTTTGCAACCTTGCATGCTACTGTAGCATATGTGAAGTTTGAATCAAGTAAGACACTTTGATAAGTGCAATTGGGAAATCGGCATGTTGCACACTTCCAGACTTCACTACCGCTCTGAAACGTTCACAAATCATGAAAATGAAGAATGCATTGAATAGCATTACCGGTGTGCCTTTCGTAGAGTACATATGCAAATTTCTAGGATTTGGGGCCATTGCCTTGAAATAGCTAAATGTGAAGTTTGTTAAGAAGTTGGCGAAGTGTTATTTTCAGATATGAATGAGTGTTTAGATTAGCTCAAAAAAGCAAGGGAACCGCATGTGTGATAACTTTATATGTTGTCGTCGATTAAGATAGCCGCTTGAGAAAAAAACTGCTCTCGTGCATCCTGCTACTGATAAGATGATACCAGTGGAGTTCTCAGGTTAGAAGGGGAGGGGGGGGGGGGGGCAGAGGGTGTAGGTAGGTACTAAATCAATTACTAACGTACGCTTCAGCTTATGCTTATTATAATACAACACGCTACTCCCAACTCTGTCAGAATGTCTCGAATGTGTTGATATCGTGTGCAAGACTCCTTTACTCAGTAGCTGTCACTTTTGAAGTTGGGGTACTGCCTCGTAAGTTTACACATTCGGAATGCCCCAAAGTTGTTGGAGCTTTTACTTCCTCCCACCACTTCCATTCACCGATTCAATAAGAATATACCCTTGCTTTTGTCCTTATTTGCGACTTGTGAATTACGCACTATTCTGAACCACACTCTGCTTAAGTCAAGGTAAAGCGTGTGATGCAAATGTCTCAACGGAGTGTGCACCTTGGTGGTTAGGGATTCTAGAAGGGAGAGTTTGGATGCAAAACCATGAGCTTAGAAGAAAATTAGGCTTCATTACAAGTCCTTTATAAAGATTTTTGATTGTTGTGTATTAATGTAGTATGTGAAGAAGTGAGCAACATTTTTTGAAAAAAAATTGCAAATGCAGAGACTCGCTCGAATGCAGCCCTTTCAAAAAATATTACTTAGTTTTTTTCTGGCACCCTAAATAGAAAAACTTAAGAGTTCACAACAAATTTAAAGGCACATGTGATAAAGATGTTGAATGTATCGATCGGTTCAGAAGTCCTGCTTTCGACTCTCTGGAGTTTCACACACTCAAAAAAAATGGTTTTCTAACACTCAATAATTTGTAAATCCTTTTATAACATTCTTCATATGGCCCATAGGATCTAGCTGTACTTCAAAGATGCTCTACTAGATAGTCCAAAATCTGTTCTTATTGTACAGCCTGCAGAGTCTCTTATAATTTTATGCATGGCAGCGAGAAATGAAAAGGGAGGGGACATCATATTTGGGTCGCTTCTGAATTTCTTCGGAGCTATGGACTTGTTCGCTGCAGCTCTGCTGTGTTACGGCGCGATCCTTTTAGTTTGTATCCTAAGAATGTTGTTTTGTTGTGTCTCTTGTGAGTTACAAAATTTCAAGCATAAAAATCCCAGTTTATGGTTTTTTAGGATCGCATTTAAATTTGTTGAAGACGCGTCTGAGCTTTTTCGTGCTCACTGCTCTCTAACAGCTGTAACATTTTTCTTCTTTTGTATGAGCACACTGCTACATAATCTGTCCATTGCAGCCCTTTCAGCTCTAAGATTTTAATTACGAATTCAATACCATACCTATGAACTTTTTGACATCATTCTAGAAGGTGCTAGTATAATTTTGTTTGCAGAAAAATCTGTGAAGAAAGTATGAGGTAAGATTTTATGAGATTTTCAATTGCAGAGCTATTCTACTCAGTTCTTGTTTTATAATTCAGCGTCCAGGCAGGATACGATTTAAACGTCGGTATCGGACTTAAAATTCCTCGTGTTATCGTTTATCAAGACTATCTATCGCGACATATAGTACAGTTAAAAACTTTGTAGACTTTTCCTACTTAGTCAATCTAAGCAGATTTATTTTGGGAGTTTTTTAGCGATCAGACATCACTTGCACTACCCACCCCCCTCCCCAATGATAATATTTGCCTTCCTCTAATGTATGATTTCCTATTAAGATATGGTGATTTATGCATTATGTATTGCATTCGTATTTAAGCATTGCATTCGTTTATGCAGGCTTCTGCAAAAGCTTGAATGTGAGGGGGGGGGGGAAGCTGGGAGGATAAGCGTCCGGTTAATTACCTTTAGGGGCGAAGTCGTGAAAAGCGGTCCCTGATTATGTCAACACGCTTGACCTTGGCCCTAGATAAAGTAGAGATTCAACGACGTGCGGCAGCAGTGAGTCAGCTCAAACCGACATATGCGCCCCGTCGTGACAGCTATAGGCCGTCCCCGCGGGGCGCTGAGAGTGCGCAGAATGTGTATCGCGCGTCACTCTCCTTTCCCCGCGCGCTCTCACCGCTTGTTTTCTCTACCCCTCTTCCAGTCATGAACTGCCTTCAGTAAACGCAACCGCGTTGCTCTCCAAGCAGAAGGCGGACGGCCTATGTTCTAATTTGCGTTATCGACCCTGAACCTTTGAATAACGGAATTCTTAACACGTTAACGACAAGCCATTTTTCTGAGGTCTGTCCCTGTGAACGGAACGTTTTCTTACATCCCTACACTTGGCCCATGTATGCATGCATCCACGCACGAAACATGAAATGTGCAAGCCCCGCTTCCATGTGGCAAGCTCCGCCAAATTGGCCAAAAATGTCGGAAATTGCCCAAGTTTTAAGAAATCATGCGAATTCTGTCACCGGGCGGAGCTTGCCACTTAGGGGCGGAGCTTGCCTGTTGGTGGGCGGGGCCTGGCTACAAGTTGCTTGAGGTCTTTGCGTTCATCTACGGCCTCATCCATGCTTTTTATAAACGAAAAGGGTTCTTGTGAGAGGCATAGGAGCGGGCGGAGTTTGCCAAAAGGGGCGGGGCTAGTATGAAGTACATGTGAGCCTAGTTGATTATAAAAACAAAAATTGATAGGATTGGACAAATAGTATGGAAATTAATGCCGCCGCACACCATTGCGCGGCGTCGTCCACAGGGACAGACTGCCTGCCGCGCACCCTTATCTGTCGTCAACGTGTTAATAAAAGAGATTTTGTCAGGTTATCCAGATTTTCACTAAACCGGTAAACCATGAGGGATGCTCTCCAACAGTGAGGGTCGGCATATTTCTACAACTCACACAGTGTCTGTTGCTTTATCGTATGCCACTAGCTTGTCGACGTCGAAATTTCCTAGCGAAAGGAAATTCACCTCAGCCCACTGTACATCAGATGAACCCTGAAATAAATGTTTACACAAAAAAATCATTACGCAAATCGAGAAGCACGAAAATCAATTTGAAGTCAACATATACATAGCTCTAGATGAAAGGCTAATTATTCCGAAACAGACAGCGCTGTTTGAGAAAGTGTTAGACCTATGATGCTCTCGAAAGGCTTTGCACACATTTTTCAACTTCCTCTGTCATTTTTTGAGCGCAAGTTGATTCCACCGTAAAAACATGACAATGTCCAACGTTCGTATCCATTAGACCATGTCGAATGTAGATGAAAGTCCGATGAGCAGAAGAAAGATTACCGCAAAAAAGTTCTTACCTTAATTTTTAGTTTTGCTATATGTTGATAGCTGTTTCCGTCGCTCATAGGGTGCGGTAACAGAATGTACAGTGAATCGTTGCTGTGAATGCTGTCAAAATCACTGGGTTCGGCGTATGTTTTGTTTGGGTACTTATATTCGTAGACCTAAATTAGCGCTAATTTCACATTTTTCCGTGAATCATCTATTCTCTTTGACTAGCTTTGCTTCACCAACTGTCTCACCAGTTTGCAAATTCCCGCTTCAACATCACAGATTATGATCGAAATAGCAGTTTGAAGTCTGTTAGCATAGGTCACAACGAGGTATTCTTTCTCTTCCATGATTATCCATTTTGATCGAAAGATATAATGATACTCACTGAAGACAAATGGACAAAAACGGAAGTTTATCGTCAAAATATAATTTACACTCTTTTTCTCAACGGAGGGTCTATCTGTTTCAGTTCCCTACTTCTTTTATTCCAAACAGTAACGACATATCTGGGCAGTACTTCTTCATAAGTTTTAGGATACTTCAATTCTACAACTTTTGGGTATTTGACGCCTTTAGCATAGCTGTAGATATGTGCAACTGACTGTTGATAGTTACTGAAATGAAACTGACCTTATCATAAACACTCCTTTTGCGCGCGGATTTTGTTTGTAACTGAGGAATGCTATGTTGTCTCCTTTCAGAGACCAGTACACTGCCTAAAATATTTCTTTTAACACGCTTTCAATATCATGCGACAACTTGATCATAGAATATCGTGCGAGTGTTCAGGTGCTGGTTGATTGAAAGACTTCGGAATTTTAAAAAGATTGCGATGGTCTTTGCATAATTTCAAGAGTTATATTCAGAGTCGTAGTAGTAGAATTTTTACTCTGTTCATATTGGTTACAGCTTTAATGGAACACAGTTTCTCTCCCATTAATCTAATATTGTAAAAGTTTTTTTTCCAACTTTGAATTTACCTCATCATTTCGATCATAAATTTCTTCCATGTACAGCCAATCCAGTATTCCATGCACCCAGCTCGGAGTATCTTCAGTGATTCGTACGACCTTATCCGATGTTGGTGATTCCGAATAGTATAAATGGTCATCTTGCCAAAATACCTAGCACGAGATCGTACTGAATTATCAAAACATGTCTATGTAGAAAAAGAACAAACGTAGTCATCTCCAGTGGAACTCCACAAAAAGAGTTTTTGACATTCTTGTCCTGTTTTATTGACTCCGACTTTGTGTAGTTTTCTTAATAACTACTATTGCGAAATCGTTGATTTATTGTCATTTGGCTTCAATATTGTGCAAAGACTTGCTTTAGACCACAAGCCACGTCATGTGACGTAGACAGATTTTTTCAATGAGTACACCTACAGTCTGTTTCAACCCGATGTAGGCAGAAGCACATTCCACACGGAGCAGCGCGTCCGCTTCGCTTTGCCAACCAAAAACTGAGAAGAATGTCGAAACGCAAACATGAATTTCTAAGACGATATGTGTTGTAGGTGCAAAATGACGCGCGCCACTCCGGAGCGGATTCCAGCCAATCCAGTCCATAGGTGCGATAGGGGGAGCCGGGCTCTCCCCAGGTGAAGGGGGTCTCGGCTGTTTCCGACCTTCCAGGGTGAAGGGGGTATGTGAGTTTAGGGGGGGGGGGGGAGGAAGAGAGAAAAGGTAAAAAAGCGTGGTATGAAGAGCTCCAATTTATACCTTATTTAGGCACAAATTGAAAAAAATTTCAAAAATTTCAAAAGAAATTAAAAAATCCAAAAAAAATTGATTAGAAAGATCTGTGCTCCTGTTTCACTGCATCAACAAAAAACGAAAGCAATAAGGTTTATCCCAAAAGATGTACAAGTTAGGAACAACTTCATTTCTTGCACATCATCATCAACAATATCACTATCGCTAACGTCAGAGACAACAAGTTCGCTGCCTGAAAAATCTTCTTCTTCCTCCAAAAGGTTATCGGAGTAGAAGTAGAATTGCGGGCAAAAGTGTTCTGAGTCGAAAATGGATTTAAAACTTTTTTCTTCTTCTAAGCGCTTTTGTGATTTTTTTCCTGGCCCTCTGGTAGCACCATCAACAGCAGGTAGGTGACCAGTCTCTTCTTACCATCTTTTATGATATTTTAAAAAGTCATACGGTAACAGCCTGTCTGGACCTCTCATACCAATCCTTCAAATGAAGTTAGATAACAATATGTTTAGTAAAAAGTTGACAAATCTTAAGTATTTGCCTAGATGCTCTATCGTTGTACGACTTCTGCGTTGTGTTCTGATAACAGAGTAGATAGAAAATTTCTTTCTCCACCTCTGCCGTGCTAGTCGGAATGGAAACTAGATTTGCTAGTAAGTCCATCAGATTTTTGCGGTAAGTAATGGGAAAAGAGCCAGATCACATATGCTTTCGCAACAAGGGAAGGAAATAGTGCATACTTTTTTGGGCCTTGTCGAACTCTGGCTTCACCTCCTCTGGCATACGTCCTGTTAGCTGATTAGAAAGCTGCTCATCTTCTTCTTTAACAGCATCTGCGGAACAGCCGAAAAAAGGAGATACTATGTTGCGCGTTGGTTTTTTTCAATATCATAGGTCATAATGTCACAAGGCGAATAACTTCCAAAAGCATAAAGCACAGAATTGGGTTCGCACTCCAGCGGGGATCAAAGTGCAGTGACTATGCTTTGTACTAACACACCTTCCTTTTGTTCATTCCATGTTTGTGAATTTAGCAGCCTTGAATTCTTCAGCAATCTGAAGATTAGCAATGGAATTCCTAGACATTTCCTCATTGGAACTAGACAATCTGCTTGGATTCCTTATGCAGGAAATCAGAGAGTTTCCCTCAATTGTCAACTCTGTATCGATGTCCAACATTTTCGTCGGCGTAAGATTCACCTTCTGCCTCGCTGTTGAACTGGAACACATGCGAGTCATCTGCGATTTTGTAAAGTATTCTGACTGCCGTTTCCTCTTCAAACTGCCAACCTTCCCAAAATATTGAGGGTTTTTTAAAAACATGTTATTCTTCTGAATGTCTTAGAGTTTTTGATTCATTGAAACCAACCATTCTCTACAAATTAGGTAAGGTGAGTCTAAAGCGTTTTCACGAAAGTGACCTTCTTCAGCACTAGGTTTACAGAGTATAGATTCCATAAATGGGCGGGTTTTTGTGTGAAGGTGTGCAAATTCACCAATCTCCCGTAGTTTTTTGAGTGTGTGCTAATAATGATGTCATAACTGTCAATCAAAAGCGCATTTTTTACCAAAAAACATAGACATATAACAACGATAAGCACGCTTAAATAGACGCGTTCGCCCACGTTCCCGTTAGATAACGATGTCAATCCACAGCACATTTTTTACTATTAACTTGCTCCACCTCGCTCTTATTAGGTCGTCCAGAAAGTTTTTGCGCATGAATTTCAAAATTCATAACTTCTGATTTTTCCAACCGATTTGACTGCTTTCACCTTTACGTGAAAGGGTAAGTCATGCTCTTTATAATGACATCTTAGCTGCTTACTAGTAGTCGTCTACTGCATAGATAGGAGCGATAGAATAAAATTGGTCAAAATTTGAATTTTTCGTGTAGGGTCATAAAAAATTGGAGACTTGCAACAAAAATCGGAACAGTCGGTATTGTAGGTCATTTCACCAGCTCTTTCTAACAGTGCAAAGTTTGTGCCGATTGAACGTTTTTATGAAAAGTTATGATTTCCCTGAAAAATGCCAAAATAAATCAAATTCGCCCTTTTCTATTGTTTGCTCGAAAATCGTAACTTTTCATAGAGACGCTCAATCGGCGCAAACTTTGCACTGTTAGAAAGAGCTAATGAAATAACCTACAATACCGACTGCCCCGATTTTTGTTGCAAGTCTCCGATTTTTTATGACCCTACACAAAAAGTCAAATTTTGAGTGATTTTGGTTTTGAGCTTATCTATGCAACAGATGACCATTACTAAGCAGCTGAGATGTCGTTATAAAGAGCATGACTTACCCTTTCACAGAAAAGTAAAAGCTGTCAAATCGGTTGTAAAAATCAGAAGTTATGAATTTTTGAAAATCGTGCGCAAAAAACTTTCGGGACGACCTATACAATGTGTTGGCTTTTATGGGTCACCGAAGCAAATGATTTTTAGAGCCGGGAAGCAAAGAAGCGCTAACATGCTGTAAACCATTCGAAAGCTGAGATCATGAAGAATCGACGTAGACCATCGACTTTTTTCTAGGTCTTCTATGTCGCGGGATATAAGGGATTTTACGTGCTTCAAAAATTAACTGATTTTGTGTCCTCACTTTCTGCTCTCCAAAATGCTACGAGGATAAATAAATAATATAAATAAACATAAATACCATTTCTTTAGTAAATTTATGAGTGTACTTGTTATTTGAGTTACTTAGCCTGCAAAACCTTTCAATAACGATTTTTATCATATTCTCAGAGTGCAATACCAATCTCAGCCCAGGTGAAGGGGGTCATCGGGAGTTTGGCCTCAAAGTGAAGGGGGTAAGATCCATCACTCCCCCTATCGCAACTATGATCCAGTCCCTGCTCAAACTGAGTTGAAACTTACTGTAAGGTGCAATTTTATGGCTTTTTGCAAAATCTATCATGATAGATGAGTACTTGAAGGCAGCTCCAGGCAAATCTAGACCTATGAGAATTTTACGTGGAAGGTAATTTTGGGGCCCTAACTAAGGCGGCACCGGCCAAACGGCAGCGCGGGTGACTCACTAACGACCGAGATATACGCCTTCAAAGTGGTCTCAGGATCGTATTCGCATGGATTCATGGCAGTTTCGCGCAAGGACCCACGCGCTGCGCCATGAATCCATGCGAAATATCCTGGGGAGTTTCGAAAATGTTATCTCATCCGTTAGAGCCCTACCTAAGGGTTGGGCAGTGGCTTAGTTAGGGCCCCAAAATTACTATCCACGTGAGGTCCCCATGTGTCCAGACTTGCCTGGGCGCTGCCTTCAAATAAGCTCTAGTTTTGAAATTGAATGTCATTCAGAATCAAATAAGCTTCAAAAAGGCCTCAACATGAGGGATCCTAGGGTATTTGAGCCTCAGTAAGACTCGGCTTCGAAATTTCCTCAAAAATTCATTGAGACTTACGAGTTCTTTGTGTCATATATCAGCATTGAGAATGACTTGTTGAATTTGGAATCAACCTTAATTTACAACAACTTGGTCTGCGTTCGTTGTACTTGAAGATTACCTCGTTGTTAAGTGGCTTTCTGTACACAAAATACTGCAGATTGTGGGATGGTTCGCCTCGGTAATATTCCGACTGTAAGATATTCACTTCAACAAAGTGTTGCTACTAGCATACTTGTAATCAATCTTCCAAACATGGTTCAATCTTTTTCTATAGATGTTTTTCATACTTTAAAAACCGAGCATATGTATTACTAGGTTTGCCCATAAGTGATGTAAGTTTCGTGAAACTTGACTTTGGTCTTAAATCTTAATAGAATCTGCGAGCGTAGTAAAAAGTCAAGAAATTGTTGGCAGTACAGCGTAGCTTTTTGTTTAATTTTAGCATTAACGGAAAAGGTTTTTTTTGTCTCAGAGACTACTGAACATTTTTTGTGGACATTTTCTTCAAAATTTAACCCACTGATAAGGGAGGATACGAAGGCGCACTCATAATTAGAAAGCGATATCCATTTGCGAAACGAATTTCTGACTCAATTTTTATGGTATTGGGCAAAGCAAATTAACAACAACGAAGGAGTATAGAAAGATGAATGGGTGTTTTCATGTTTCTTTCTGTTGAAAATGTGTTACTAATACATGGAAAACATCATTTTTAAGCGTTTATGAACTTTTCCAGAAAAATTGTTTGTAAATAGGAAAAGTAAAATTAGAATCAGCGTTCATAGACGACCCTGGCAAAATGCATTTCTTGATTTCAACCACGCCCCCGGAAAATTTTTTTATAAGGCTAAAATAAATTTTTAAAAAATTTTAAAAATTATTTTAATTACTTACAAGCATGAATAAGTCTTTAGCACATTTTTATAACCAATGCAAGTATCTTTCAAAAATTTCGCGACCCATTCTCGGGGGGGAGGCGCCCCCCCCCCTCCCCTCGGTACGCCACTGGTGGGAGACTAAGTTTTATAACTTTTTTCGTAACCTCCCTCTTTTTCATTATGACGCAATCAAACCTTACCGTCATGCAAACTGTGACGTAAGCTACAAATGCAGGTGCAGTTCTGCCAGATTCTGACTCTGTAGTGAGGGATACGGTAGGTATTTGATATATGGGGAGAAATTACAATGTCATATTGTCAAAGTCTGAGTGCGCCACCAGAAGAGGGTAAAGTTATAAAAGAACTTACAAAACTTAGTTCCCATCTAATTTCTGTACGACAATTTTCCGGTGCAATGATGGCGAGTTTACTTCTACAGATTTCTTCGTGGGAAAATGTTTCGAAGTTTAGAATTTAGAAATTTTTGGCTTTTGCGAAGAGGCTAGAAAATGCTAGTTGAAGTTTGGTCTTTTGCTTTCAAAAGTGGAAATGAGAATGAGTAGATAAGGTAGAATACCTACAAAATAAAAGCTACTAAAATTAAGTACCCACTTAGCTAGCAGTCCAAAAAATCTGACTATTTGAATTTTGAAGATTCTTTGGGAACTACTGATGAGGGACACCAAAGAAGCTGCACTACCGCTATAGTTCTTAGTCCCGAAACCGGATAGTGTAAAAACAGATCAAAAAATTTGTCGTAAAAATTTTGTATCTTGGCAATTATATTCTAAGTTCTCATTTGTTTCATTAAAAAGGTACCATACTCGGCGGAGCCTTTAATTAACTCAGAATGATTTTTTCTTGCTTTTTTGTTAAATTAGATTTCAAAATGCGCTTTTTTCGCTTTTTATTGTTATGTTGATTGAATAGGGGATTTCCCACTAATTTCTAGTCGAAAGGGGTTTCGTGAATTTCCGCGAAGTCATGGGGGTCTTCGCTTCCACAAATGTTCCAAGCCAACGAATGCCGGGCCCTGAGTATGGGCATTCTGCGCGCGAAAAACTCGGAAAGGACATACTTCCCGAGTTTCTTACCCCGCTAAGAGATTTGCGAAGCTGACGGTGAGCACTTTGTAAACAGACAAGCATCCCAAGACTTTAACGGGCTGTGATCTTATTTATTCAACAATGTGAAAAGGAAAGGCGTGCTCTCTTAATCCTATTCACTTTCAGATTAAGACCTACCATTTAAATGTCACTGCTGATGTTGTTAAAGGAAAAAAATGCACATAAACAAGTCTTTCATTGCGCAATTTTTTCCATTCTATTACAGTAATATCACGTTGTCCATATTGATGTAAAAAATCTTACTAGTGCTTCCTGAATCTCATCGGTCTTCACAGTACCCAGTGTCTGGGTCTTCATAGTGTCCAGCGACAAAGATTTCATCTCACTTTCTTCCAAATAAAGGAGGTTGCTATCGTGGAACTTATAGATATAAATAGGTAGTTGGAGTTTCTGAATGGCTTCGAGGTCAAATGATCTTTTCAACCTTTCACCTGGAACAAGACAACATTTACTCCAAACTGAGAAATGTTTTCCATAGTTGGTCGACATTGCTTAAAAACAACCTTGTTCCACAACAGTTGTCAAATCTTCTTTAGCGTAGCTTTCAGCTCGATTCAGTACTGCAAAACATTGGTTTTTCGCACGTTGGAATTGTTGAGTGACCCCTCAAGAATCCCATAATCTGAGATTAACTTATAGTCGCTCCTCGCTAACAAGGGACGGGCTCTCTTCCCGTGTTCGTTGTAGCGGCATCTGTCTAATACTACAGTACCGGTTGCGGCATCTGTCTAATACTACACTACCGGTTCCTTATGTGCTGTGATGTCATGGTTAAATAACTTAAGCACTTAGGTATGCAGAGATGGGTAGTTTTACTTCTGCGCGTGCACTGGACCTTGAAAATATCTGGGTGCCATGGCTCTACGCGCTAGATGCATATTGACTATATGACTATACGCAACAACTCAGACAAATGACCGGAACTTCCGCAGAGCGCTTGCAGAAGTTCCGCCGAGTCACCTGCGGAAGTTCCGTAAACGTGATGCGGAAGTTTCAAAATGAGGTTCCGCGGAAGTTCCGAAGAATGCCAACCACAACAGCAAAAGAGAATGAAGCGAGAGTTGAACCTCACTCTATTGACTGTGAGACCCACCTACTATTCTCTACGCTACGGCTGACATGTTTGATAATGCACTCTAGTTGTTCGCGAGGCAACCTCACGAGACATCACATTTAAAGTCTTGCGGAAGTTCTGGCAGACCAAAGTGCTGCGGAACCTTTGGCATTTTTCGGAATTTCCACAGGATTTTGAAAAATGTTCTGCGGAAGTTCCGATTTTCAACGTTTTCATTTTTGCAATAGTGAACAAAATCCTGCGGAACTTTTGCAAATTTGGCTTGTCCTGCGGAAGTTCCGGTGATTTGTCTGAGAATGGTTACGTCAAAAGCTTCGGAAACTTACGTAATGGAGTAGTTTTACTCAAAATAGTCGATATGAAGGACGCCACCAGAAGGTCCTGGAGGGGGAACGGAACTTACCTACCCGAGATATTCTCGCACCTCATGGGTGTCTATCTGCGGGGTATAATTAGGCATAGCGAGCTCGCTGATTCCAGATGCTCCTTAGGATACAGCGCTAAGCTAAGCCCCGAACACATATAGCACCTTTTTGGCATGGAGCCAAGACATTTATAAAGATATATCAATTATATAGGTAAAATATTTAAATCACAAAAACATGTGCAGCGCCCTGTACACAGTGATCGTTTGATAGACTAGCTCACCTTCATAGTCTTTTATCATTAAGGTCAAATCCTCAGGGCATGCTGTTCTCACTAGAAAACTGCTTTTTCACTTTTTCTCTCACAAGGGAACGATCCCAACTTAAGGTGGCGAATTGGAATAAACCGCTTGATGAGCTGACTGCAAATCTACCTTCCATATCTGCGACAACGTTATCTGGAAGAAGTTATGAAAGGTTGAAAATGTGAAGTAACGGGGAGTTTTGATGCATAATTTGCTTTAAAATCCAACTTGGAAGTGTATGACTAGCATGATATTGAGTATACTGATTCCAAGGAATGCTCACATTCAAAAGGAACGCAAATAAATGTTTTTGAACAGCTAAAAAGCAACTAAAGTACTTTGGTAAAAGTTACGAGCAATGAAAAGTCCAAATTTGGCAAATATACATGGCAATACCTCGAAAATTAGTTGTTCAAAAACACTTATTTGTGTTTCTTTAGAGTATGAGCATTCCTTGAAATTAGTACACTCAATATCATGCTAGTCATACACTCCCAAGTCGGATTTTGAAGCGAATTGTGCAGCAAAAGCCCCGTTACTTCACGTTTTTAACCTTTCATAACTTCTTCCAGATAACGTTGTCGTAGATATGGAAGGTAGTTTTGCAATCAGCTCATCAAGACGCATCTAATGATATGCGGTTCATTCCAATTCGTTACCTTAAGTTGGGATCGTTCCCTTGTCAGAACTATGTACCGAGAGAAAAAGTGAAAAAGCAGTTTTACATGCGTCCTAAGGCTATTGCTTTATTTTTTGTCGAGATTTCTTAAGCTAAAAGTCCATTCACCAAAGCAAAATTTCGGCTCCTGTAAGAAAAGGCAGCAGAAAGCCAATAGCATATTTGAAGAGAGCGCCTCAAAAAACCCCTTAATCTATATTTTCGTCGAGTTTGAGCAGATATTGTTGCTGAACATCAATTTTGTGATTCTGTTGAATTCCCGGTTTCATGATTGATGGATGCATCGCGAAAGAGTCGATGGATGGGGGCGGGGCTTACAATACACACAGACTAGGCTCTGTACACTATGCTAATTGCGTATCTGACTGCTCACAATACCTAAGGTACGCTGCTGCAAGTCTTTCGGGTAGGTAAGTTCCCGCACCCGTCCTGGAGCATACATCTGCGCTTTTACATGAGCTTTTTTATTAGTTTCGGTTCAAATCTTTTTTTTTTCAGCAATAAGACCAGCTCGTACAGTTGCCTTTCTTCTTTAAAGTTCAGGAAAATCTGTTATGACTGTACCGCGTTCCAATCCACCCCCAATGCAAACGCCCTTACGTTGATTTCCCTCAATCTGCAGTGTCATGCTTATGTTGTTTGCTTATTTCACTCAAAACTATTACGATTCATCGTAAGCAAGCTATATTGCGTTTCTGCATCCTGCATTTTTCCGCATTAAAATTAGATGCATTTCTTCTTTTCTTAAAGGCAGCAGCTCGGCAGACTGACAACTGTGGGATATTCATCGTTCTAGGTTCCCCTGGAGGAGCTCCCCTAGACAAACTAAGTCCAAGACTGTGCTTTGCAGCTTCAAGAGATATCAATAATTCGCTTTTCTAGACGTGAAAAGTGCTATTTGGCGGACCGTGTATCCTGCTCTCTAGAGCGCGATTGGCTTGTGGTAGAGACACCGTACCTACCGTACCCATGAGCCAATCGCGCTCGAGGGCAGACATACGCCGCCCGCACAAATAGCACTTTTCACTTCTGGAAAATCGGGAAAATTGACATCTTTTGAAGCTGCAAAGCACAATCTTGGACTTAGCTCATCCAGGGGAACTGAGAACGATGAAGATTCCAAATTTGTCATTCTGTCAAACCGCTGCCTTTAAATATTCATGCTCGCCCGCTTAGGTTGCGCTAGCACTATTCTCCTTAGTACTAGCCTAACAAAGGAGGATATCAAATCACACGGACGAACCGAAATAATATACATGTCATTGAGTGCGTCTTGATGAGCTGATTCCAAATCCAATTCCCGTGCCTGCGCTCTTTCTAAAAGAAGTTAAGCGTTTGAGTGTTTAAATTTGGCAAACATTCTGTGCCACATCTTCAAAAAAATACATGTTCAAAAATACTTATTTACGTGTTCGGTGTATATATGCATTCCTTGTAGACAGTGCACTTAAAACCATGCCATAATCACTCCCAAGCTGGTTCTCAAGGCATATTACACTTGAGAACTAGCTTACGCATCAAAACTCCATTAACTTTACATCTTTAATCAACCAAAGTTTCTTCTAGGGAAGGGCTAGCAGCTGAAAGGTAGAACTGGAATCAGCTCATCTAGATGCCCCCAAAGATGTGCATATCATTTTTGTTCACCACTGCGATCTGATATCCCAGTAAAATCCTTATTTTGTAATTGTCTTTTATGATTTTTCATGTTCTAGTGGACACGGGTTATGCAGGAAGGTTTCACCTTTGACCATTCCATAGGCACCTTTACATGGCAGGTCTATGTTATTGGAATGGGATGAGTTTTATAAAGACTAGAGTTGCAAGTTGATATTCTCAGAAATTTGTCCCAATTGTACCTTCATCAATTTGCGAAAAAAGGTCTTTTTTCTACCAATGAAAAAAAGACAATTTAATGCCGAAAAAAACACTCAGTTCCAACAGTCCACCTCGGTAGGCTATTTGTAGGAATAGGTCAGAGTTTGCCAGTGTTGCGGATGTTGAAAGGGTTGAACGTGGAATTGACTAGTCTTAAACTTCCATTCTTCCTCAACCCATCCTGTAGGATGGGATGGGATTGGTTGAGAAAGGAAAGTATGGGACTTACAAGTGTTTGTGAATTGCGTTTCAAGCTGATATAAAATATATGTACGTCACTTTCTAGAAAGCCGAGCTGTTAAATATCAGTTTGATTTCCCTTATTGAAAGACAAGAGGGTTGACGCTTCCGCAGGCAAGAAATCGTCATACAAAAATTTTGAAATTGGGGAATTTGTTTGACATAGGCAATCTCCGTATACGCTTTGAGAACGCTGGGAAAATCTAATGAGTAATGCGTATTAGGTGTCACATCCGGCGCCTCTGCGATTAGTGAATTAAAATTCGTAGCTCCCTTAAATTTGTATGGTCTTTAGTCACTCCTTGAAATGTGTAGATAGACTGAAGCACGAAGGGGGCTTCGTAAAAATGTCGTAAGTCAAATGACACTTCAGTTTGAATCAAATTTGAAGAAAAATTTTGGCAGATTCTTCAATGTCCTTGATATCTGATTTTCCTATCAATGAAATGCACTAATTCCAATCGACTATCGTTTAGAAAAAACCAGCTTCAACCAAACTACGTATACACGTTGATTGCGTCACAGCACCCATACCTAGTTTTCCTGAAGGTCCAACAACTTTCTAGAAGCCTGCTTAACCGTACTTCGAACTTCCGAGCAACCAGTGAACAGATATTCACGCTTTCCTATAGAATTCAAAACAAGTTTAAATTCTTCATACTTCTGCGAATCATTTATGACCTTCGCAGCACATTCTCGTGAAACATACTGCGCTACGTGACAGAGCGCATATTACAACTGCCTCTCAATTCATTTGGAAATTAACATTTGCTTCTGCTCTATTTCTCTGCATGTTCATTTCGACCGAAAAAGAATATTTAAGACTCACTAGCACCAAATACGAAGATGGCTAAAGGTATCAGCGCACAAATGATTATTGTGAACACCAAAGGGTGGAGCAGTTTCTTAGTCTTTCTCTCGCTTCTACTTTCCACATCCTGTAAGGAGTTTAACGCTTTACTATGATTTGAGTCATGGAGTGATCAAACCACCACAAAGAGTAGATACTATCATAACTTATAATAACGGGCTAGGGTTGTTTACGTGTTTTTGTGTGTGTATGTGTGTATGTCTGTGTGTCTGTCTGTAACGAAATTCGTAGAGCGAATTCCAGCCAACGTCCTGAGCCCAAATTTTGCACATCGCATGCGACCAACATAAGAGCCTACCGTGCAAAAGCACGAGTGTTTTTGTTGGTTGGATCTTTCAGAAACTGTGCGTCAAACGGAACCACTTGGGTTCTGGCCAGCAAAATTGGTTCCGTATCACCACTTTTTGCAAAGTCGGTGATTGTTTGGCATGCTGATGTGCAAGCCATGGACTTAAGTCCAAAAAGTGGACAAAAGTTCACTACTTTAGGAGAACGACGCCAAAAAGAAATGGTTGCGTAAATGATTAATTTGCCATGGTTTTACCTGAGCATTCCAGAAAAATTTTGCACAGAGATGTAGCTCACGTTGCCTACTGTCCTTATGGTAGCTAAAAAGCCAGAAAGAGTCCAAAAACCTATTCAAATTTGTATTTGTTAATCTGCGAAAAGTTTCATCCAGGCGAAATCACCGATCACATGAAAAAGCATTTTAAATGAGTAGTTGTTTATATTTTACTCGCGATAATCGACACTGCGCGGTGAGTTTCATTGCCACCTTTAGTCGAGAATGAGTAAGGCATATGAAGTAAACCAGTGCGAGCCTCTGCGAAGCAGAGGTGACGCACTGGTTACTTATAATCGCTTTTGGAATGTTAACTTGAAATATTTGATGCTATCCGTTAAGGCGCATTTGAAAGTTTATAGACAGACCAGTGCGTAACCTCTGCTTCGCAGAGGCTCGCACTGGCTCTACTATCTAGGCCCTACTCATTCTCGCATAATGATGGCATTGGTACTCACCGAGCGATTGCGACTATCACGAACAAAATGTAAACAACTACTCATTCCGAAAGCTTTTTTATGTGAAATCGGTGATTTCGCGTGGATGAGACTTTTTGCAGGAAAGCAAATGCAAATTTTTATAGGTTTTTGATTTTCCCATGGTCTCGACACTTGCAACAAGAACAGCAGTCACTGTGAGCTACATCTTTGTGCAAAAATCTCGGCAAATGCTCTGGTGAAACCTTGGCAAATTGACCATTTACGCAACCAATACCTTTTGGCGCCTTATTTGTGAAGTAATGGACTTTTGATCACACTTTTTGGGTCTAAGTTCATGGCTCGCACATTTACTTGGCATAAACATCCACGACTCTACAAAAAGTGAAATTACGGACCCAATTTTGCGGCCCAAATGCAAAGTGGATCCGTTTTACGCACAGTTTCTGAGGGATCCACGCGACGAATCTGCTCGTGCTTTTGCATGTTGGACTGTCATGCGGGTAGCATGCGCTGTGCAAAATTTGAGCCCAGGAGATTGGCTGGAACTCGCGCTATGAATTTCGTGACAGACAGGCATTCACACTGACAGACACACAAAAAAAAACGTGAACACTCTTAGCGCGTTATTATAGTGGGATACTTGGACAAAACTCAGTAAGGTGAAGTAGCCTTTTGCACATAGGATTTTTTTTCGTTGACCTTCCTCCTTTTGCTACATTTGAGACATTCGAGAAAATTGCTTGGGTAGCTGCGAATTTAGTTTCCTAGGGCCCTGGCGACGAAGCCGTAGCGATTTTTAATCGCCACGACTCGCTCGCGGTGGCGACTATCGACGACTGAGTCGTTCCTTGCTTGTGCGTGTGCATACCTGTGACGCGATGTCATGCAACTGCACTCTAATATTCCGCCTTGTCATCTATATATAAATAAAACTCAAAATCTGTAAAATTGTTAGTTAGTAAGTAGTAAGTATGTGGTTTATAGACTCTTTTGTTTGTGAGCCGATGAGGCTAAAATTTGCTTGGCTACAAATAAGGTACGGCGCAAAAGATAGGCTACTTTTCGCGACAATCGCTGGACGCTTTAATCAATTTATTGATTTGTTTACTACATGTAAGGGAATATCACTACGCATAATAGCATGAATTCGTGCACTTTCCCTAAACGATAGCAAATGGTAGGCGAGGAGATGACCGACGAGATGCGGACCCGCCCTTTGTGCACGAGACATGTTTTCATGTATACCGAACCTTCTCGAATTTTTTCTTCGCGCGTAGGTTTCGCCTAAGGACAAATTCCACAAATCGACTGTAAACATACCATCACGTGTAGCACATCAATAGTCTCAAGACAATGTTTTCGCACAAGTCATATGATTACATATGGGATTTTGAGCAACATCTCTCTATAATAAAGCGCAGCGTATGACTCACCGTACAGTAAGTTTCGGCCCGCATTAGGCGGAAATTGGATTGGCGGGCGTCCCCCTCGCAACAGTTCGCGCCGTTTCGCACCTACAGTACATCATATCGTGCTGAGAACCGAGGTCTGCGTCCCTCCCTTCTCCTCAGTCCCTGCTTGGCAAAATGCCAGCGCTATGCGCTCGCGAGACTTCCGGCGGTGCGTACGCGCCCTTCCTTATGGGATGTTCTGCCTAATCCGGGGTGAAACCGACTGTATGTGGCCTCCGCCGCGTGTGAAGCCCTCCCCCCCTGTGCGCTGGGAGCTGCTGCTGACGTCACGGCAGCGAGCTCCATATGCAGTCAGCAAACTTTGACTGCGAAGAGTTTCGAAAATTGACTGCGAAGATTTTCGAAAACATATGCTGGCGACCTGACAGAGTCAAGCGCAACAGATTTCACATAACTGAATGCCAGAACGATGATACGACAGCAAAATTTCAAAGTTAGTTTTTTTTACAAATAAGTTCCTGCAGGGGTTTTCGTTGCTACCAATTCATAAGATGTTTGCCCCTTCCCTAAACTATATAATGTTATACTGAATTCACACATTTCGTTAATATGCGGGCTTATCCGCTGCATGCCATCTTGGTGGAAATTCTGTTCTTGGCACTCCTAGATTGATAGTCCCTCTTCCTCTCATGGATAAGATTTATATGTGCATTGATACTTCATTTGATTGTCGATTACCAAGATTCATCATAAAAGAAAGGTGGAAATGTCTAACAAAGCTAGGCGTTCCCTTTGTTGCTGTTAAGCAGTGAGTTTTAATAAGTGAGGTGTGCAATATCGTTATTCTCAATCCTGAAAAAGTAACGAAATCCAAAAATGCTCTTTCTGTATAAATCTGTCGCTGCTGCCATCTGATTGAGCAGAATTCATGCCATTTCCAAAGAAAATTCCTTCAAAGTGTTTCAGTTTCTACGATCTGGCAGTTGTCTCTCTATTTGAAAGTCTAAATCACCAACAAAGTATAGCAGCTATCAGCATTCTCGCGTCGTTTGATATCGGTCACTGCAAGTTACATTTCGTCGACGGACCAGGTGGCAGCGGGAAGACTTTCCTTACAACACAGTCTATCACATCTTGAAAGACCAGCGCAAATTAGTGATATGTGTGGCATGGACAGGAATCGCTGCGAGTTTGCTACCAGAAGGAAGAACCGCCAGCTCTACTTTCAAACTCGACATGAACTCTGGTAATCGCGTATGTATGCTCCGTCGAGAAAGCAAAGATGCGATACCTTTGAAGAAAGCGGATGTCATCATCTGGGATGAAATAAACATGGTGCCAAAGCATTCCCTGGAAGCGGTCGATCTCCTACTCCAGGACTTGATGTGCAAAACTATGCCTTTTGGAGGAAAAGTTGTTGTGCTTGGAGGTGATTTTCGACAAGTTCTGCCTATGGCCCCGGGCAGACTTCACGCGATTTGATCGTCGCGACTGAATCGCAAGGAGACAACTGTTACAACATCATTCCATGCAGATCAACTTGCATTCGGTTGTGATACTTTTCCAGACCGAAATTTTTGAATGTGAAATGGAAATGAATAGAAATCTTGGCGATTTGGTCGCGACGATTAAGTCGCGTGAAGTCTGACCGGGGCCTATAGTGGAGCGAGGTTCTATTTCGGATATGATGGACATGTGCGTAAAAAACAGTCACCTGTGGAAAATCTTTTTTAAAGGCAATGTCCGGGCAAAAACTCGATTTTGAGATTTTGTGCTTTTTGGGCCTATTCGCTACGCTGAATCCGAAAATGCACATTGTAGAGCGCGAAAATGGCGAAAAACGGCTCTAACACAGGAGGGAAATGAGCAGGTGGGCGGGGTCCTCCCCACTGCGAATTCACGTTCCCGGCTTCCGGAGCGACCTTCTCGCTTCCGGTTTCAAGTCGATCATTCGCACTTGGCCGGTAGCGATGTTAGGACAGCTAGCGGAATCAAGAAAACCACTCCGGGAGCTGGGAGCATGAAATCGCAATGGGGAAAGCCCCGCCCACCTGCTGATTTCCCTCCTGTGTTAGAGTCCTTTTTCGCCGTTTACGCGCTTTTCAATGTGGATTTTCGGATTCAGCATGGCGAATAGGCCCGGGTAAGCATAAAATCTCAAAATCGAGTTTTTGCCCGGACACTGCCTTTAAACATGGTCTATCACTCAATATGAGGGTGAGAGAATCCGATTTACTGCGGACTGATTTGCTCATCAATATAGGAGACGGGAACGCTGAGAAGACCAGGAAAGTTGTATAGAACTTCCAAAGGATATCATTTCCAACGGCGATCTTATTGGTGAAGTATTTGGGAATCAGATATCTAACACTGACACCCTCTGTGACCGTGCCATATTAGCAGCTCGGAACAGTGACGTCAATCGTATCAATGAAGAGGCATCAAGAAGGCTTACGGGTGAAGTAAGAGTTCAAAAGTGTAGATGAAGTGACCAGCGATGGATACAGTGAGTACAGCACTGAATTTCTGAATAGCTTGACACTGCAGGACTTCCTCCGCATAATCTTCGGATAAAGAAAGGTGCAATAGTGATGCTGCTCAGAATTCTTGACGTCAAAAAAGGCTTATGCAATGGAACTCGTTTGATAGTCAC